TATGTCCAAACTGTGAGATCGCGCGGCCCTTCTGTAGAAGCGCTTCCTGCTTCGTGAAGGCTTTTCAACACATCGCCAATGTCATATTGTTCCGCACTTTTCCGCAGCGTGCGGATGATAAAGGAACCAGGAAGCGAGGAGTGCCTCCTGCCTCATCCGAAAAATCTCTAAAGCCAGGGGTCTGCCGGCAGGGACTATACTTTAAGTCTCCATAGAGTTCCATTTTGGGATTACCTTATGGGATTCTACATATGAACCCCAAAAAGGAACTACTCTGGAGCCTTAGGGCCGTTAAGGTACCTCCAACCCCTTCATTGAGGCAACCCAAACCTGTCTAATCATTCAGGCCCAGGAGATATATTCAGGTTTATGATTGTAGCCCTAAACCCTACCTAAACCCTAAACAAATATTAAACCCTACCTAGACCCTAAAAAAATATTAAACCCCACCTAAACCCTAAAAAAATATTAAACCCTACCTAAACCCTAAAAAAATACTCCTGGACAACAGGTTTTAGGCCTCAGAGCTGGAACTTGGAGTATTTCAAGTTCTTGAAGAGGAGACCACTTAGCCCAATGCTGCTGTCTTCACAACGCTAAAAACCTGAGCCCCGAAATGAGGAGTCGCAATGTTAAACAGTTAACCCCTGAACCTTGAACATCCGTAAACCATGCACTCCAACTGCGACGCACCCCCAAACCGCAAACCTTACAGCTTACATCCAAAAGCACCCTAAACTCTGAACCTCAAAGCTCTTCACTCCTTGCATAGCTCAGTGGCATTCCGCCCATACCGGGCCTTGGGTGCTGGCTTCGAGAGTTTAGGGTTTAGGGTTTTAGGATATGGGAGTTTCGGAAACCCAAAATGAGGTACCCCTAGTTTTCGGAAATTCCCATACGGGGCTTTTGGGAGTCTAGAGCTGTTGGGTTTGGGGTTGAGAGTTCAGGATTTCGGACGTTCGGGCTTTACAGTAAACCCCAAAAAGTTGGAAACCGGGTTAAGGCCAAATAGTGCTGGAATTCCCTATACATTACTCTTAAAGATTGAGGCTATTGAGTTTCCAACTTTTGGGCTTCTACTGTAGTGCTTTTGGGGTTTCAGACTTTCGGGTTTTAGGCTTTATAGGGCTTAACGTTGTTAGGGCTTTAGTGCTCTTGGGGTTCAAGACTTTCGCGTTTTAGGCTTTACAGGGGCGTAAGGTTGAGGCTTCAGAGTTTAGGGCTTACAGCTTTAGGATTTTTAGAGCTTATGGCGCTTTAGGGTTTAGGGTTTGGGATTTCTAGAGCTTTTCGCGCTTTAGGGTTTAGGGTTTAGGATTTTTAGAGCTTCTGGCGCTTTAGGGTTTAGGGTTTAGGATTTTTAGAGCTTTTGGCGCTTTAGGGTTTAGGGCTTAGGATTTTTAGAGCTTTTGGTGCTTTAGGGTTTAGGGTTTAGGATTTTTAGGGCTTTTGGGTTTTAGGGTTCGGGGTTTCGCGCTTGGATTAAGAACCCAGGGCTCGGGGGTGCTGAGGCCCCAATAGTAGGGCCCGCAAAAAGCACATAAGCAAAACTTAGGATAGGGATATCCCATATAAACCCCCTTATGATGAAGCCCATTAAGGTAGGGACATCCCTATAAAATGCTTCTGCTTATGTGGTTTTTTGGCCCGTATAATGGACTCCGGAGTCTTCGGCTGACTGTTTCGGGCTTTCGGGTACTGTTGATGGTATAAATCCTGCATTACCTTAAGGACCCTAAACTATGGGAATTATGGTATATTCCTTATTATGGGTAATGCAGGATTTATATCATCAACAGGTAGCGGCCTCTGGAACACGGACTATAGCGACGAAGGCAGGGATCAGGCTTTCGTGGGTCAGGGCATAGTCTCTCCTTTTAGGATTTATGGTATAGGATTTGGGATAGACCATAGGAGCTTTAAATCATTACAAAATGGGATTCCTGTTGTGCTTGTACTGTAGTTTCACTTATCCCAGAACCCAGCCTTTTAATCATTCAGGCCCCTGTATGGGAGTTTCCGAAAATGGGGTACCTTAATAAAGTACCCTACATAGGATCCATATAACAAGGACCCCCCGAATAAGATACCCATTCTCGGAAAATCCCATATTAGAGTTTCCGGAGGGGAGGCCGTGAGGGTCGGGTTACTTAAGAGGAGCCCCCGAAGCCTCCCTGCCATTTTCGGACTTATAGGGTGTAGGGTGGAGGGTTTAAGGGTTTAGGGGTTTAGGGTTGAGGGTTTAAGGTCTTCATAACCCTGAATCCCTAGACCTCGAACCCTGACAGCTAAACCTTCAACGCTATATGCCATAAACAAATAACTACTCTAAACGTGATGCAGCCCCCTAAACCCTAAAGCACCTGCAAGCCACACCAAAACTCTGCATTCTTTGCAAAGCTCAGCGGCATTCCGCCCATTCCGCCCATTCCGCCCATGCCACCTTCCTCCTCATCATCGCCACCTGAAGAGAACACCAGCGTAGGCAGTTGAGGATTTTGGGGTTTAGGATTCTGGGCTGAAGGTCTCGGTCTGTTTTGGAATATGTCAAGGCATTTAAGGCTTCTGGGTTAGGTTGAGGTCTTGAAGACTCTTAAGACTACGGGACACTTTCAACTTCACGCAACCCTGCAACAAGCACAGGTGGATGGCTTGCATCTCTGCTTCCCGAAAATTAAACCAACTGTAATGCTACAGTATACTATGAAGGAACCCGCTTGATGAAGGCTTTGAGCTCACGGGCTTTGCAAAGGCCACGAAGGGCCGAAAGACGGAGGAAAGAGAAATACCCTCTCTCTCTATGGCAATGCTGCAATTTCTTCTCCCCGAGGTCCACACCCGAAGCCCGAATAAAGCCGCTGACATGACGAGAACAAAGCAGGCATGTACTATCATGGTGCAGAATTGTAGTTTCCACTGCGATTTGTTGGGGCTCTATTCCAACCTCCAAAGGCTGCAGAGCACTGTCGATCCCTGAAGAGCCGAGTCTACCACAGCGGAGTATTTTGCGGAACTCAACGCTCACCTTGAATCTAAAACTCTAACCCACACCAGAAACTCAAAATCCACCTCCACTGCCAGACGACTCCTGCAGCTTGAACCACGGCTGTTCCTCCTGTCCGAAGCTTCAGGAACAAGGCAACGAGGTGGACCAAAAGGATACCTTTGTAGGCTTATGTGTTTTGGAAGTTTAGGCTTTACATGTGACCCAAGAGTATTTTTAGAGAGGACGGGTGGTGGTTCTTTAAACTGGACATGTTTACAGTCCGTTATGCTATATTAACATGAAACCTTGTAAGCCATACGAGTACACCAGTGTCATATGGGGGTTTCGGAAAACAGGGGACCCTAATATAGTACCCCAAATAATAGGATCCTTATTATAAGGACCCCAAATAAGGTACCCCTAATTTCGGAAACTCCCATATTGAATCAGTGGCAAGAAGGCTCCTCTTGGAAAATCACAAACATGGACAAGTACAGTAGGGCTTTGCAACATAATACCTGGAAAGCAGCCTTAGTGAGGGATGAACACTCAACACCTAATATAGGGGCCTTAGCAATTACGTACGCTGTTTTGGAGGTTCCTTGTTCTACTTATAGTGTAGTGGGCCCCAAAACCCCGTTTTATGTATTAAGGCCCCTATATTAACCCTCAAGAGCTTAGAACGTGCTTCAGGTTTTGTAGGGTTTAGTGAGTCGGGCCCGGTTTAGGGGTGCCATGTTTGCAGGGGTCTCAAGCTTTCGGGTTTAGCTTGAGGGGTTTAGGGTTTAGGGTTTAGGGTTTAGGGTCATTGGGAGCTTGGTCCTTCTTGGTCAGCTTGAGCACCACCATGCCTCAGTGACTATAGCTTGCAACAGCCCCTCCCCCTCTACGCGCTCCAAAATCATTCAACACTGAGACTTCACTCATATAATACAAGTTTGCCTAGACTCACCAGACTCCGAACCACAGACATACCTTTTTCTTGTATATACTTATATACATATACATATATATATATATATACTTATATATATATATATATATGTATATATATATATATATATATACACATACATACAGTCATACATACGGATGCACGCACGCACGCACGCACGCACGCACGCACGCACGCACGCACGCACGCACGCACGCAGGCAGGCAGGCAGGCAGGCAGGCAGGCAGGCAGGCAGGCAGGCAGGCAGGCAGGCAGGCAGGCAGGCAGGCAGGCATGTGTGCAGGTATCTATCTATGCATCTGCGTATGTACGTACGTATGTATGTACGTACGCAAGTATACACTGTATACACATGTATTTGTACGTATATGCAGATTTTTACATCTTGAACATGTACATCAGTGTTATATCTCAGCAACCATGTCGATCTATCTAGACTGTCTCTCTCTCTCTCTTTCTATCTCTCTCTCTCTCTCTCTCTCTCTCTCCCTCTCTCTCTCTCTCTATATATATATATATATGTCCATCCACATGTATATAAAGAAGCGAACCCCTCCCCACACGCAAGCGCCCGCCGGTGCGATCCCTGGCTTATGACAGGCAGGCGAGGGAGGCAGGTTCCTTTCGGTAACAAGGCTCCCCGATAGGCCTCTCTCTCTCTCTCTCTCCCTCATATTAATATATATATATATATATATATATATATATCGCTCTCTCTCTGTCTTTCTCTGACAGCCCCGGGCCCCAAGTGAAGCAGCCCTTGGTGCGGCCAGGCTGCCCTTGCCCTTCTTGTGATTCACCTGCGCGACAGCACTTCTTGAAACTGCAGGGGTTCAAGTCAGCGCTCAGCGCTCTGGACCCCCAGACATGAAGGAGCAAAGCATTCAGCATTCAACTGTCCCAAAAAAGCCTACATCCTAAACCCTACATCTCAAAACCCTGAGGCTCTGAAACCGGAAAACCTGAGAAGCCTGGCAAGGAAGAGCCGAAGCACCCGAAGTTCTAGACCCGTGCGGAACGATCGGATCTGTTTCTTTTTGCCACCAACTGCCATCTCTGTCACGGGCCAGCTCGCAAATGCCTCACAAAACCCTTGAGGTTGCAGATCTCTTCCTGCAAGTCGCGGATGCGCCGCTCCGACATGATCTCTAAGCGTGACATCTTCTCTGCTTTGCTCAGCGGATCGTCGCTGACCTGCGATGGGAGGACACGACCGGTTTGGCACAGGATAGTTGTCTCCCAGTGGCTCAATGCCCCAGCAACGCATACTGCGGACATGAACTTCCGAATTGCGCCATGGCGCCGAGCGACTGCTGCCCGGGCTCGGCGCCTCTGGGCACGGTTGGTGCACGTCTTTGAGGTCCCTGGGACCGATGGAACTCCCGCGCCCGTCACACGAAGAAGCCATGAGATGAACTCATCTTCGTCAATCGTGCTTGACCCGTCTGTGTCTAAAGCACGGATCATATCATCAAGCTCTGCCTCACGGATCAAGCCACGTTGTGAAAAGAAGAGCCGCAAGTCTTTCTTAGACACACGCCCATGGCCGTTCATATCAAAGAAACTGAAGGCATACTCTATGTCGTTCACTGATAGCTCCTGCGTCATCCAGCGAAACTCTTCGAGATCGATACTACCATTCCCATCCAGATCCAGGGACTCAAACAAGCTCTCCGCGTTGCTGTGGCTCAGAAGCCCCACCAGGGAAGCAACAAACTCATCTTTGCCGATGTAACCATCTTTGTTTGCATCCAAGGCATGGAATGCAACTTCGGCGGCCGTCTGCATGGTCGAGCTGCCCGCCGTTCTCAAGGCAGGCGGGCTGCGCAGACTACACCTTCTTGAGCGAAACGAAGCGATCGGGAATTGTCGAGCATTCCTGAAAACCCTAAACCCTAAACCCAAAACCCGAACCCTAAACGCAAATCGCAACCAGGGAATTTCCTCTCTGGTCCTGGCATAGCTTTGCCTGAAAGCCAGGGCGTCTGTTTGGGCATGAAGACGACACCCTACCCAGGGGCCCCAAAGTAGTTCCTTTTTAGGTAGTATATTAAAGTCCCTAACCAAAAGAGAGGACACACCCAAAAAGGAACTACTTTGGGGCCCCTGGGTAAACTTTCCGTAAGCTTCATTCAGCACTGCAGACCGCAGAGCCGCCTCAACTTAAAGCTGGGTCCATGATACTTAAAGGCTCATGGGACTTAGTAAGTAAGGTTATAAGTAGGTTATAATTAGGATAACCCCACTTAGGGGACTTATAACCCCAGTTATAACCTACTTACTAAGTCCCATGATCCTCTAAGTAGTGAATCTACTTATCTAGGATACCCAGTAACCTAAGAATAAACAGGCCTCCCTTTTTGGTATTGGGTAACTTTATAAGGAACCTAGGACTACAAAAAGGGAATAAGGGTACTACTGGGCATCCTAGTAGTATTAGCAATTCTTCAGGCTTCTCTGTAAGACTTCACGACGCCTTCACGCCGTCGATCTCATGCGCGAGGTCCTTGAGCGAGAAAGTTCTTCTCCTGCCAGCCACCTCATGACGTCGGACACTGTTTGTTTTAGGGATGTTTAGGGTTTAGGCGTTTTTTATCTCAGGGTTTAGGGTTTATTGAATAGACTAAGGATTTTCTAAGGGCTTACAAAAGGTCTGAGAGGGCTTCATGGGGGGTTTAACAGGCTTCATTCATATAAGGGCCTGCATACTTGAAACTGGGTCGCATAGTTGTAATGCCCGAAAACTACGTAATGAAAAATATGTTACTGCCGCATTGAAGTAGGGTGCTCAAAAGGCCGGAATGCAAGGTGGCTCATCGGGGTATTATCCTCCTCTGCCCCTATAAACTTTAGAAACCCTCAACCCGGAAACCTAAGCCCGAAACGTAAACCCCTTGGCTGAGCCTGTCTTTTGTTGAAATGTAACCAAAAAGGCAGGCGGGCTTGAAAGCTTCAACCACTACTTCGTGAAAAACCGGATGCCGGACAAAAAAACAGCTAGGCTCTCCCTTGTTCTACATGCCCTTTCATCCTGTTCCCGAAGAACGGGCCTTTCAAAGGCCGACGTAGGCTCCAAAGCTTCCACAGGTTCTAGGGTTTGGGCCTTTATCGGGCAACCTAAGTTAGCACGAAGTTGGGTTGCGAGATCAGCTCCTGATACTAATGAGTTGACCCTAGACTCTACACCGGGCGTCTTTCCATCCGGCTTGGGTTCCGGTCTTACTCCGCACTGGCTTCATGCTATCCGGTCAAGAACGGACGCTGGGCTTGCCATTGGCCCGCTGAGTAGCAACCCTTAACAGCTACACCCCCAGAAGCATGTAGTAGGCTTTGCAGCCTTGCACTTGCAGCAAACCGCAGAAGTCTTTACTAACCTTTCCAGCAACCCTTACAAGCTTTGAACAGCCCTTACAGTCACACAACAACCCATGGCTCATACAACGACCCATATGCTGGCCGTTCTAGTAACCCATATCGCGGTTGAACTTCAAGCCCCATAAACCCTAAACCAAATCATAGTTGCCGGTTCCTCTTATCATCGTCGCCTGCTCCTCGCCTGGGGTTCTCAATGCATACATACATACATACATACATGGGTAGTTTTGTCAAAATTATGATCCTTTTTTGGGTGCCCTAAATGTTAGGTGCCGCATTATAATAAGGACCCAAAAAGGGATCCTAGTTTTGACAGCCACCCATATACCATCAAAACACATTGCCAGCACTCTAAGTGCCCGAAGAAGCGACCTAACCCTAAACCCTGCGACCCTAAACTTAAAGCCTTGGCGATGGTGAGGGAAACATCCTTCTCGCCGGAAGAGGCCTCTTCAAAAGGGTGGGGTGGTGGGTTTAGGAAACTTCGGGTGGTTTAGGGTCTACGCAGGGGCCCCAAAGTAGTTCCTTTTTGGGTGTGTCCTCTTTTTTGGTTAGGGACTTTAATATACTACCTAAAAAAAGGAACTACTTGGGGCCCCTGGGTAGCGTTCTGGGTTTAGGGCTTTAAGGCCGAGGCTCAGATGCAGAACAAACAGCGCCCAGAGTTATCGGGGTAGTCCTAGGGTTGATGATATAAACCCTGCATTACCTTAAGGACCCTAAACTATGGGAATTATGGTACATTCCTTATTATGGGTAATGCAGGATTTATATCATCAACCGTAGGGTCTCTTGGTGGTCTGTGAGTGGTCTCTTGCTGGTCGTGTCCTGCGCGATCTCCTGCTTCTGTCCTGGTGATTGTGGTGATCCTGATGGGCTGTTTGCCTCTGGTCGTGATTGGCTTATCACTGTCTGGGTGAACTACGCTGACAGAATTCTGTGTGAGTTAGATGGTTCCACATGGCTTTGACACGATGTTATGGGGCTGAAACCCAAAGGGCCCCTGCACTTCGTGACCATGCCCGTAGAATCCTGAACCCTACCTGGTTAGTTGTCAAAATTAGGATCCATTTTTTGGGTCCCTTAGATAGTACGGCACCTAATATTAAGGGTACTTGGAGGATCATGGGACTTAGTAACTAGGCTTATAAGTAAGGTAACTATACTTATAACTGCTTATATCCCCAATTAAGGTACTTATAACCTTACTTACTAAGTCCCGTGATCCTCCAAGTACCCAAAAAGGGACCCTACATTTGACAACTACCCATATAGTACCCTTTTGAAACCCTATAGAAACCCTAGAGGATCCCTTTAAGGACCCCTTAATATTAAGGGCACCCCAAAAAGGGACCCTAAATTTGACAACTACCCACCCGGAGCAGCCTGAACCCTGAACTCAGGCCGGAAGCGCAGAACATGCAAGCCCGGAAACATGAAGGCCCCAGAGACTCCAAAATCCCTTAATTGAGGAATAATCCTTAAATCATATTAGGGATCCTACTATAATTTAAGGTATATTCCTTAATTAGGATCCCTAATATGATTTAAGGTGTATTCCTTAATTAAGGGATTTTGGAATGTCTGGGGCCGACTAGCAAGCCCGACGCAATCATGGTGCTGACACTTCCGACATGAAAATCAACCCTACCCAAAACCCTAAAACCCTAAAGCCCGACACCCTAAACCCCAAACCCTAAACCCAAAACCCTAAACCCAAAACCCTAAACCCTTACTAAACCCTTACTAAACCCTTCCTAAACCCTTACTAAACCCTTACTAAACCCCTAAACCCTAATACTGCTCATGCCTGACCGGCTAAACCCCCGGGGCCGCCTGGAACATGTCCTCAGTGCAGTCGTCCAGACCATCGAGCTCGATGTAGATGCTCACCTCACGCGCCGTCGGGGGGGGGGGGGGGGGGGGGGGGGGGGGGGGGGGGGGGGGTTTGAGGTTTAGGGTTTGAGGTTTAGGGTTTGGGGTTTGGGGTTTAGGGTTTAGGTTTAGGGTTTAGGGGGTGAAGCTTAGAAGGTTCAGGGTCTCCCGGTTTTGGGTTTCCGGATGATGCGGTCTTCGCTGTCGGGCTGGGGAGTTCCGGGAGGTTCTATCTCGTTCAGGGAATCCGAGTCCCCCCTTCAGATGGCAGTAGTAGTGGCAGTAGCAGTAGCAGTAGTAGTAGTAGTAGTAGTTAGTAGTAGTAGTAGTGGTAGTAGTGGTAGTAGTAGTAGTAGTGGTAGTGGTAGTGGTAGTGGTAGTGGTAGTGGTAGTGGTAGTGGTAGTAGTAGTAGTGGTAGTGTAGTAGTGGTAGTGGTAGTGGTAGTGGTAGTGGGTAGTGGTAGTGGTAGTGGTAGTGGTAGTGGTAGTGGTAGTGGTAGTGGTAGTGGTAGTGGTAGTGGTAGTGGTAGTGGTAGTGGTAGTGGTAGTGGTAGTGGTAGTGGTAGTGGTAGTGGTAGTGGTAGTGGTAGTGGTAGTGGTAGTGGTAGTGGTAGTGGTAGTGGTAGTGGTAGTGGTAGTGGTAGTGGTAGTGGTAGTGGTAGTGGTAGTGGTAGTGGTAGTGGTAGTGGTAGTGGTAGTGGTAGTGGTAGTGGTAGTGGTAGTGGTAGTGGTAGTGGTAGTGGTAGTAGTAGTAGTAGGTAGTAGTAGTAGTAGTAGTGGTAGTGTAGTAGTAGTAGTGGTAGTGGTAGTCGTAGTAGTAGTAGTAGTAGTAGTCGTAGTAGTAGTAGTAGTAGTAGTAGTAGTGTAGTAGTAGTAGTAGTAGTAGTAGTAGTAGTAGTAGTAGTAGTAGTAGTAGTAGTAGTAGGTAGTAGTAGTAGTAGTAGTAGTAGTAGTAGTAGTAGTAGTAGTAGTAGTAGTAGTAGTAGTAGTAGTAGTAGTAGTAGTAGTAGTAGTAGTAGTAGTAGTAGTAGTAGTAGTAGTAGTAGTAGTAGTAGTAGTAGTAGTAGTAGTAGTAGTAGTAGTAGTAGTAGTAGTAGTAGTAGTAGTAGTAGTAGTAGTAGTAGTAGTAGTAGTAGTAGTAGTAGTAGTAGTAGTAGTAGTAGTAGTAGTAGTAGTAGTAGTAGTAGTCGTACTAGCAATTGCTAGTACTAGTATTCGTGCTAGCTGCAGGAGCCATAGTTTGAGTGCAACACGGAACTGCAAAGCCTAGGACGGTGCTGCCTGGCTAGCTGTGTGTCTGCAGTCTCTGGAACAACCGAAGCTGCCGTATCAAGCTAATCTCGCTTTTACTAGTACTCTTGGAGTTCCGAAGTTACTTGCGTTTTGCGGCTCTGTGTGTTTGGAGTTTTAGGTTTTATAGGGCTTAACAGAGTCGAGCCTAAGGGTCTTGGCTTGAGTTGGGTCATCTTGCGACAGCTGTCCCGAAAGCAGCCCTAGTATTGACAGCTTAAACTCTTAACCGTCAACCCTAAATCCTAAACCCCGCAAGGCAGTTGTGGACGCCAAAGTGCACATCAGCAGGAAGCTGGCAAATATCCCACCATCCCCTCGTTAAAGTAAGCCAATACAGCTTGAACAGGGATACACCACCCAAAAGCTTCTGCTTGCGTGACGTTTTGGCACCTGAACATCAGAACTCAAGAAGCAACAGCACCAACCCCCAAACCCGAAACCCATAAGAACGAACATTGGCAGTTCCAAAGTTCCAAACCAGTCATGAGTAAGGAGATCGAAACCACAAAAACACCACATAAACTCCAAAAGTAGCTGTGTGAATGTTTGCCCGAGCATGGAGCATCTAAACTCTAAAGCCCCAAGAAAGCCGAAAGACGAAGAAGCCCAGCCGGTAGTCTGAGATCCTCAAGAGTCAAGCCCAACACTTAACACCCCCTCCCGACAAAGCATACTTCACTAGGACATGTATAACGAAATCATGACAAAACGACCTTGGTTCTGTGAAGAGGACATTGACAAGGAAGTCGTTTAAAGGAGCCTTAACAAACGTGGGCCTTGGTGGGCAACGGGCATATACTGCCAAAAAACCCAAACAAGGAGACAAACACGGCAACGCAAATCCCGAGCAGTGCCGCAGAACACCAGATAGACTGCCGAAAACCATAAAACGAATCTCGCAGGCAGGCCTGCTTCTTGCCATCACCCCAGCTGTATTTGGTGATGGCGTCGCCGGCGCTGCTCATGTCCTGGCTAAGGATCACATACGATTTGGAAAGCCCTCGGCTTTACGACTCTGACTTTAGGGTTACGACAGGTTTGAGTTAGACTTAGACTCCACAGTGTCTGCTATAGACCCCTAGACCCTAAACCGTAAACCCTAAACCGTTAGATTAAGTTGTACCATCCTGATCCCAATCAAGTAAGCCTGCCTTGATCCCTTGATGTGTGCTGTACATGAGCAGGTTCTTGCCGGATGCAAAAGTATCTTTCGGTCACAAGCCTAGACCTCCGTAAGCTTATGTTTGAGGCACTTAAGGCTTTGGGGTGCAGGGGCAGTTGTTACTTAGGATCACTACAACTGTTGGACAAGCTATGCTTTTGTTTGTGGATGTGAAAAGCTGGACTCTGAACCCTAGGTCTCCATCTAAGGGCTTAAGGATTCAGGGTTTAGGGTTTAGGGTTGAGGGTTTAGGGTTCCATAAGCTCTAAGTCCTACATCCAGAAGCCTCAAAAATCGCCTTGTCAGCATCGGTGTTCTTCTTCTTGGCGTCGTCCCACTGGTATTTTCCAGTGACTGTGCCCTGGTCAGGTGTGTCTTCAAAGTATAGGGTTTAAGGTCACGGCTTTGTATTTAAGATCTGCTTGTGGATTGTTTGGAGGTCTCTTTTGATAATCGCATTGGGGTTGACAGTCCTACTGGCTCTGCGAATTGCTGCAAGGCTTTGTTGCGGTTCTGGGGTTCATACTGCTGATGGACAAAATCCTGCATGACCTTAAGGACTCTAAACTATGGGAACTATGGTATATTCCTTATAATGAGTAATGCAGGATTTTGTCCATCAGCAGTGGTTGTAGCGGCTTTGCGGCGTTAAAATCATGGTGGAGATCCCGGCTTTCGGACAAACGTTAGGATGTAATGCAGGGGCCTTACCACATAGAACAGGGTTTTGGCGCATACTACACTAGAAAAAAAGTAAGGAACCCCCCAAGATAGTGTAGGTAAGTACTCGGGCCCCTATACTTTCACACCGTTGCTGGCTTAAGGCTCGGAGTAGTCTTCCGAATGCGTGTGTGGGCTCTTGGGAGAAGTCCTCTTCATCCTTGGAAGCCGAGGGCAAGTTAAACTAAGGGTTTAGGGTTTAAGGTAGAAGCCAGAAAGTTGGAATATGATTATCCTAACCCTTCTATGGTAAATTATAGGGTATCCTACCATGGAACCATATTCCAACTTTCTGGCTTCTACTGTAGGGGTTTAGGGTTTAGGGACCTTTAAGTGTAAAATGTCATAGGCCCACAGCGAATGCAAACCTATGCTTCCAAGGACGAAGCCCGAGGCCCCACCTGTCCCAACAGGGGCCTTGACAAGCAGCAATACTCGAGAGAACAGGACTATAGCGCACACCGGGAAACTCTAACTCTTATTGCTACGGCCCAGAAAGTACTAATTACAACCACAGCTTCTGCCAACGCCTCCCACTTCGGAGGCGCATCAGTCAGTGCGGCCTTAAGTAAGCGTTTTGCTGTTCAGAATTGAGGACTTTAGGGTTCAGGGTTTTGGACGAACTATAGTCTTTAGGGTCTAGCACTGACGGCTGAACGTTTACGATTTAGGGCGCAGGGCTTACGGATTACCATTTAAGGTTTATGGTTGAAGGTTCAAGGTTTACGATTTAGGGTTAAGGGTTCAGGGTTTTACGCTTACGATTTAGGGTTTGGGTTGAGTCGATGTAAGCCTACGGGCTGGATGCGGGGCTCTCTGTCTGCATGCTCGTTTACTTTCCTTAGCCTACCAAAAGCTCTTTTTTGTGGGGTCCCTATAGATTCCATATTCGGGTTTATAATGAGAACCTACTACAAAAAAGTAGGGTTTGGTAGTTTACTTTGATGTTGAAGACGTGCGGGTCTCGCAACTTGAACTGCTTGAAACCACTGCGGCCGAAGTTCTAAAGATCCTAAACCCCAAACCCTCCAAAATAGGTCCACATTTTAACCTGCTTTCTGCGGATGAATGTCTTCCCCGCTCCGGACGGCGTGTTACTCAACCTTGCCGACTTGCAGGAGTACCCTAGCCCGCAAACGGTTGACCTTTTCAGTTCTGGTAGGATTTCTTAAACCCCCAAAAGGTTAAAGGTTACCCCTAAACCCTTATAGTACCCAACTAGATCCCTTAAAAGCATACCATTAAGTAACAAAAAAGATTAAAGGTTGCGTACTCAGCTACTAGGTACGGAGAGGGTCATACCCTACCCCTTTCTTAGGGTACCTAGTTTTATGGTTAGGATCTCCTATATAGAAAAGTAGGTACCTTAAAAAAGGGGTAAGGTATGAGCCCAGAGGTATGGCTTTCAGCGACAGGCCCCGAGCTCGTAGCTGCCTCCCGGCTCAATCTCGCGCGCCGCATTTTAAGCGCAGTCCTTGCCCTACCCAGAGGCTGACCACCCTACCACTTCTTTAGGATACAGTAAAACCCCATAAAGTTGGAAACCGGAGTAAGGCCAAATAGTGCTGGGATTCCCTATACATTACTCGATTGAAGCTATGGGGTTTGCAACTTTTGGGCTGTTACTGTACCCAGAGGCTTACCCTGCCACTTTTTTAGGATATTCTAGTATCGTGGTTAGGATCTGTTGTTTAGAAAACTAGATACCCTAAAGATACCCTGAAAAAGGGTAGGGTATGAGCCTACAGGTATGCTTCCAGGGACCTTATAGTTAGGGCCCAAGACCCCTTGAGGACCCAATGATAAGGGTTCTTGGAAGCAAAAGGGTACAGAAACCCTAAAACCCTTAAGCCCTGAATCCGTAAACCGCATGTCACTCGAACTGTGATGGACTCCTTGCGACGCTACTCGCCCAAACCGAGCTAGTAGCCTCACATAGTATGGTGCTCAACTAAATCCTAAACCCTAAACCCCCACTAAACGAAACCCTTCTCCCTGCACCTTCAAGGTAACCCTGAGCTGTGACTCCAATATAAGTTTAAACTCCTCCCCAGACCTTCCAAAATCCCTTGATTAAGGAATATACCTTAAATTATAATAGGATCGCTAATTTGATTTAAGGTATATTCCCTAATTAAGGGATTTTGGAAGGTCTGGGCAGTTGTACGGATACTGAAGTAAAGCCTACATTAGGCTGGGACCCGAATTTTCTGGAACTTCCTCCAAACACTGAGCCCCTTCAAACTACAACCCCAAAGAGACCCCTGTAAACGCACATAATTGTAGGAGAACTCCTAGATCTGGCAGAGAGCTCCGAGGATCGCACAATGCCGGGCAGCACCTTGCAGCGTCTCAGCTCTGATTCTTAAACGTGGGGATCGTTTCTTGCATGACCAAGCGTTTGTAGAGCTTTATATGGCTTCGCTGAACTCTTAGGGATTAGGGTGTGGGGATTCTGCGTCACTTCGGGCTTGCATGCCTGCGAATCATGTACCTGACGCTTGCCGTAGGTGTGGCTGGGAAGTGCATTGGCCAGCTCGGAGACGCAGTGCAGACCCTCTGGAACACAGGAGCTGAAGTGATGCTCGAGGGTGCTGGAGACCCAGACCTTCCAAAATCCCTGAATTAAGGAATATACCTTAAATTATAATAGGATCCCCAATATGATTTAAGGTATATTCCTTAATTAAGGGATTTTGGAAGGTCTGGGTCCTTCTTCTCGTCAGTACCGATTCTCAGCAGGAGCTCCTGCACCAGCTGCCGTGACCTGTTTGGTCGCTCCGAAGAGAGGCCTCCAAGGTTCTCTGCACCAAGCGTAACACACATCGATGTGGGAGTTTCCGTAAATTAGGGGGGATACCTTTAAAGGGATCCTTTAAGGGTTCCTTTAAGGGATCTATACGGGCTCCTTTAAGGGATCTATAAGGGTTCTATAAAGGGTTTAGGGTTTAGAGTTTCCGAAAATTGAGGGTACCTTCTTTTGGGGTCCTTGTAATAAGGATCCTATTATTTAGGTACTATATTGGGCTCCCCTATTTTCGGAAACTCCCGTTTGCATGAAGGTGCGGAAAGACGCCCGTCTCCTGCATTTCCCACTCAAGGCACTTGGAGGATCAGGGGACTTAGTAACTCGGGTTATAAGTAAGGTAACTATACTTACAACCACTTATAACCCCAATTAAGGTACTCACAGTACTTACAGGCGCAAGTTCTGCCCAACATGAACTGAGCAAGCCCGACCTTCAACGGCGCAGCTTTCCCCCCAGTGCCGCCATGCTCGAGCCGGCGTTGCACGTTTACCTCTACAGTAGAAGCCAGAAAGTTGGAATATCATTATCGTAACCCCTTTAAGGTAAATTATAGGGGATCCTGCCAGTAATCCATATTCCAACTTTCTGGAGTTCCCTCTATGGCCGGAGAGAAAAGTCGTCCCTGACTTGCATTCATCTCCCAAGGCCTGACTGCACCTGCACGGACAAACTCTGTCCGATTCAATTCGGGAGTCATCGTCAGGGCGGCATCATGCCAGCCCTCAAGGGCTCTCGGGTTTCGGGATGGAGGTTGTATAGGGCTTGAAGTTTCAGTTTTGCTTTAGACCCAAAAATTTCCTGTTTATTGGCTTATGCAAGGAAATCATATAAAAGTGGAGCCGCGCCAAACGTGGAATCCCGAGCCTGACAAAAGCTAGGCTGCCTGCGTTTCGGGCTCAGGGCTTCGGGTGTCGTGCTCATCTACTTAGGAGGATCATGGGAGCTAGTAAGTACGGTCAAAAGTACCTTAACTGGGGTTAAGAAGTAGTTATAAGTATAGCTACCTTACTTATAACCCTCTAGTTACTAAGTCCCATCATCCTCTAAGTAGCCGAAAACCATACATGCCAAAGCCCTTGAAGCCCCCTTAACCACTGCACCCCTGCACGCCCGAAGCCTCAATCAGTCTATGAAACAAACCGTCTTAAATATGGGTTCCTTTAAGGGATCTATAAGGGTTCTATAAAGGGTTTAGGGTTTAGAGTTTCCGACAAATTAGGGGTACCTTCTTTTGGGGCCCTTACAGTATGGATCCTACTATTTAGGGTACTACATTTGGGTCCCCTATTTCTTCACTACCATCGCACGGGCCTGTTTACCGCGCTCCTTTTGCGGTCCCACATGACAAGAGTCAAATATGAACCCTACATCGTAGCGGGTGGGGGGGACAATCTGGAATAGTCACTTGGGGTCGATTGGAATAGTTGGGAGCCTGAGAGACTAACAAGCTAACAAGACAATCTCAGTGCAACCCAGCTGCAACTACCACCACTAGTTAGACTCGAATCCTGATGAAGGCCCCCTCAGCCTGCCCCCCTGTACCCAAACCCTCAACCGAAACTCAAAACCGTACATGAACCACAAATCCAAAGCCTGCAAACCCAGAGCCTTAACCCCCAAGACTACAAACTCAGTGGGCACCAAAACCCCCCAAAACTCTTATCGAACCCAGATAGAACCCCGTAATGGAGCCCGTCCTAAACCCTAAACCTTAAACCCTAATCCCTACCCTAAGGCCGGCCCCGAAGTAGTTCCTTTTTTGGGGTTCACATATAGAATCCTTTCAGGTAATCCCAAAAAGGAACTACTTTTGGGGCTCTGGGTAAACCCCAAAAGCTAACCCCCCAATGGCCTTGCCCTCCAAGAGCTCCAGAGAAGCACCACCGCCGGTGGACACGAAGGACACCTTGTCCTGCCAAGTGCAAGAGGCAAGGGCTTAGGGTTTCGGGGTTTAGGGGTTTAGGAGCTTAGGGGTTTAGGAGCTTAGGGGTTTAGGGGTTTAAGGCTTTCGGGGTTAGGGATTTAGGGGTTTAGTGGTTTAGGGTTTACAAGGGTTCAGGGTTCAGGGTTGAGCCTTCCCGGTTTAAGAAAGCCTGAACTAGTAACCTGAATGCCTCAGCAACCCCCACAGACCCTTATCTCCTCCATTAGAAAGGCCGAAAACAAAAAGCCCATGAGCCTCCCGCAACTCACGCCTCGGCCTTAAATCCTCAAATCCTAAATCCTGGACGTAGGCATTGCGGCCGAAAACCATGTAAATCCTGAATCCCATACCTAAAATTAAGTCTTGCCCCTGAGCCCTAAACCCTAAACCTTAAACTCCAAAGCCCTACATCTTAAAGCCGCAGGGCCCCAAAAAGGCCTCCATGTCCCACTTGGCCGCGGCCGTTGCGGAGTCGCCTCCGCCGATAATTCCGACGCCGCCTCGGTCTTTTCAACTCTAAACCCTAAACCCTCAACCCTAAACCCTAACTAAACTCTAAGCCAGGCTTGGGTGTTGATCCCTGGGATTTTATCTTGTTATTGCTGTCGTGTTTTTATTGTCATCATTGTCATTCATTTTTGTCCTTATTGCTATGATCGCTACTACTAACAATAGTATTATATAGTCCTATTGCTATTATTAGCACTGTTACTATTGTGATTACTGCAATCATAGTAAGTTCTCGGTACTGCTAGTATTCGTACTATTCGTAATGTAGTGGATTGTTATATACTGTAGGGTTGGTAACACCTTTGAGGTTCTCCTATGCAGTCTGATGGGGCGGTTCGGGCTCTTCATGTGAGGTGTCGGGAAGCATGGGGTTGTTACTGTTGTAAATTATGGGGTCTATAGGGTCTAGGGTTTGGGATCAGGGTGAGGATCGGCCGTGTCTCGTACGACCTAGCAACCAAATCAAAACAGTCATCCCAAACTACCCTAAACCCCAAGCCCCAAGCCCTGCGATTGCCCTGACCGGGCTGCTCAGCTGCTAAGCTCCTTGGGCAGACACCGCTTGCATGAAGGCCAGCTACGGCATCCAACAGTGCCTGGAACTTCTAGCGCTTTGAGGCTCCGGGTTCGGGCTTTGTCCTGGGTCTATACTCTAGGGGCCTTAATAATTAGAATAGGGTTTTGAGGCCCATTGTACTATAAGTTAAATGAGGAGCCCCAAGAACACTATTGGGAATTTTGTAGGTCCTTTTAGTATCCTTTATTATGCAAATTCTCTCCTTGTGGGATTCATCGGTTTACTTACCTGTCTTGCACGTGCCTCGAAACCAAAACTTGTCTTTCTGCGTTCGGAAGGCAAAAAAACTCTGAGCCCTGAACCTCAAACCAAAATCGATTAGTCTTCCTTCGAGTGTAACACCCCAGACTTGCTTTGAAAATGTCGGGTCCAATAAACGATTTAGAGTTTAGAGGCCTTACGCAGAGGCTCCATAGTACATCCGTTTTGGGATTCATATGTAGAATCCTATAAGGTAATCCCAAAAAGAACTGCCATGGAGCCTAGGGCTAGACATCCTATAAGGTAATCTCAAAAGGGAACGACTATGTAGCCTAGGGCTTAGGGCCTAGGACTCAGGGCCTCGCGTTGTGGCTGTCGCGCGTCACTCGGCTTTGCGGGGGTCTGGATTCAGGAAAGTATCCTGCGGATCGCCCTAAAGCATAAACCCTAAACCCTTCATAACGAGACTCGGGTTTTGTTTCGGGTACATTCTACTGTAAATGTAGTGGGAGCCCTAAAGTAATAGGATAGATAACGAGAAGTAAACCATATAAACCCTAAACCCTGCAAACCCTACTTGGACGATCATGGGACCTAGTTAGTAAGTAAGGTTATAAGTACCTTAATTGGGGTTATAAGTAGTCATAAGTATAGTTACCTTACTTATTACCCTAGTTACTAAGCCCCATGATCCTCTAAGTATAGTATTCTCCGGACCGCCTTCGTGCCCTTGGAGAAGTTGTCGAACTCAAAGACACCCGCGGGTCCATTCCACACAACCTGGGGATTTCGAGCAAGGGTTTAAGGTTTAGGGTTTAAAGGGGTTTAGGGTTTAGGGGTTCAGGGTTTAGGGTTTAGGGGTTTAGGGTTTATGGTGATTGCGGTGGACGGCTTCAGGCTAATAGTAAATTCATCTAATAAATAACATAGGGCTTTGTCTACTACCCAAGATACCGATGCCCATGCTAAGAAAGTGAAGTGCTTGGAAGAGAGTGTTCCGCTCAAGGCCTTACCAGAGCTCCAGAACCATCTGTGGCATGGATCTGTGAACCCAACATGCTATACCAATACGGAGAGACCGAGTGTGCGCTCTCCTGCTGGGAGAGTAGTATACTCTGTCTCCAATAGACGGGCACCTTGAATGTGACACAACAGATACAGCATCATCACTTCGTAACTGCGACGCTTAGGCCAGAATCCTGTCCTCGTGTTCGTTGCCACTCAAGATCCCCAAACCAGGTAAACCGCATCTCTGACGTATTTGCAGCACCTTTTGATAACAACTTCGGCCAGCAGACGATGCGAATGCAATTACACGCTGAACCCTAAAACCTAAGCCCCAAGCCCGAATTCTGAGCAACAGCACACATCCTTGCGATCCCTTTCCAGGATGCCGACAGTCTTGGCTGCCTTCACCGTGTCGGCGAAAAGCTCCATGCCTTTTTGCGCAGGGTCCAGGTTTCAGGGACTTAGGGTTTAGAGTCCAGGGCTTTTGGAGCTCAGAGTTTGGGTTTATTGAGGGTCTATATAGGATTAGGGTTCAGGATCTAGGTATAGAAGGCTTGGGGTTTAGGGGGATTCATGGTCTACTTAACGGCTCATGGGACTTAGTAAGTAAGGTTATAAGTAGGTTATAATTAGGATAACCCCACTTAGGGGACTTATAACCCCAATTATAACCTACTTACTAAGTCCCATGATCCTCTAAGTAATGTGAACCTCAGAAACTTGGAACATAGATTTAGGATTCCCTATACTTTACTTTAAGCACGAGGCTAATGAGCTAGGGTTTATAGGGATTAAGGTTTAGGGCTATGGGGATTAGGTGTTGTGGGGTTCAGGGATTACTAGTAGGGTTTAAGTCCCATGATCCTCTAAGTAGCATCCAGGCTTGGGGATTTGATTTCGAGGCGGTGGAGTCTCTGGCAACGATCGCTTGCGGCTTCAAAGGTTGGGGCGGTTGAGACATGTGGGTTTAGGGTTTAGGGTTTAGGGGAGTCCGTAACTTCGAGTCCACTTAACATATATTAGGGTGGTTGTCAAAATTATGGTCCCGTTTTGGATCCTTACTATAATACGGCACCCAATATTTAGGATACCCAAAAAGGGACCGTAATTTTGACAACCACCCATATGCACAGTAGTCACTAAAACCTACCGGCGAACCCTACAAAGACTTGCTTCAAAAAGCCTCAGAAACAAAGAAGCCAAAACCCTGCACCCCATACCCTAAACCCTAAACCCCTAAACCCCAAACCCCCAAAGCCACAGCGTCCCCGGGCTCCGCACTCTTCGGTCCGCAGTCCATGCCTGCACAGGTCACCCAAGTCTCAAGGCTTTCCGAGTTTTGGGGCTTTGGGGGGCTTAGCCGGGCTTAGAGGTTACAGTTGGACTTTGGGGTTTAGTGTGCCGTAGAAACCTAGACCCAAGAGTAACCTAGGAATAAAAAGGGTGCCCTTTTTGGTTTAAAGGGGCTTATAAGGGAACCTGAACCCCAAAAAAGGGAATAAGGGCCTACTCTAGGTCCTAGAAACCCATCGACGGCAAATGCTAAACCTGAAGACTCCAAAGCCTTGAGCCACAAAGTCGAATACGGGCCATGCATAGTATGATGGATTTGGGATTATATGTGAGTCCCAAGCCATCCAACAGGCACAACATTCTCGGATATATTGTCCGTTTAAAACTTTCAAAAAAAAGTCCATGTATAACCGTTTCAACCGTCATAAAGCGTTACAAAATCTGATAGAAGCCCGTACACAACAGTATTGCACCGCAAACAATCAGCAGAATCCAAGTCAAACGCGGTTCGGGCCAAAACATGTGGGAACCTGATAAACAAACTCTGGCCGACAACACCAAAATGTTAGGACCCACTTGGGTGGTTGTCAAAATTATGGTCCCCTTTTTGGGTACCCTCAATAATAGGTGCCATATTATATTCAGGATCCAAACCGGGACCCTAATTTTGAGAACCACCCATATAAAGATACCTGACAAAGACCCAAGGTTTCTTACTCAGGTTCCTATATTAGCACCCCAAACAGGCTTCCAGACCCTATGCCCTATACTGAACTCCCAAGACCCTAAACCCCTAAACCCGAAACGCCTAAATCCTCTAACCCTAGATGACGGGATTGCGGGGCTGATAAAGTGCGTTGGTTGAGGTTGATGACTGCTCGCAACGTTCCCTCAAACATCCGGTACAGCAAACCCTCAGCACGCTTTTCACTTACTCAGGCTGTACTCAGGTGTGTATGAGAATCTTGTGAACTTCGGCATTTTTGATTTCGCAAGGTGCCACCCGGCTACCCAAGACGCACTCACACTAGAACACAAGGTGCCGAAAGACTAAACCTCACGTCTTCAGGTAGATTCTGTGAAGCAGTGAAGAAGTACTCGGCGTGCGCATGGAGTCCTAAAGTTTCGAGCTTTGAGGCTTTTGGAGTTTGACATGGACGAGCTCATTGGGCTCTGCTTCTGGTGAACTGCCAACAGCAGCTCAGGGGTGCGGTCTTGTGCTCTGCCCACCCTACCGCCCGGGAGTATGGCAAAAAAGGCCATGCAGTATTCGGTACAAGGTGCTGGAGGAGAAATACGGACGGTTTAGGAACCAACATCACAGTATTCTCCTGGAATGACAGCCCCAAATCCTAAACCTTGAGCTCTTGAGCTCCTGAGCTCTAAACCCCTACACCCAAAAGTCTATAAGCCCCAAACCTTATCAACTCCTGTGTCCGAACAGCTAGATAGCAAATACCCATTTATTGTATTAGGAAATAAAGCAAAATCATGCTTCCAAAAAGAAAAATCAAGCTGTGCAGAGCGCCTTCCCATCCGTCTGGAATGCCCTCCTCTCGGGTGGCCAGCTTTGTCTCCTCCAAAGCAGGGCAAACTCGGGCAAGTGATAGGGGCCCAGACCTTCCAAAATCCCTTAATTAAGGAATACACCTTAAATTATAATAGGATCCCTAATATGATTTAAGGTATATTCCTTAACTGAGGGATTTTGGAAGGTCTGGGGGGTTTAGGAATTTAGAGGTTTCGGGTTTAGGGTTTATCGGTGCGTACGCTTCAGGGTTAGGCTCTTTATGGGGTTTCTGCACAGGGCTTGGGACTTAGGCTTAAGGTGTGTATGAAGGGATTCTGCAAGCCGCGGGTTTGTAAGATTTCTATGGATCTCTAAGGAGGTTTCACTTGTAAGGCTTTATGAAGGACAGGTAGAGCGTTTGTAGGGGCTTAGAGGGGTTAGAGCGTTTGGTAAGTGTGCGGGTTAGGCTTCAATCGCACTTGACAGCCCCGGAAGCTTGGTGAAATGGAGCCTGTAGACTACCCAGACCTTCCAAAATCCCTTAATTAAGGAATGTACCTTAAATTATAATAGGATCCCTGATATAATTTAAGGTATATTCCTTAATTAAGGGATTTTGGAAGGTCTGGGTATGTACACTTCCTGGCAGATTCGGGCTTAGAGTGTAAATGCGTACCTTTCTTTTTGAAGTGACACTAAGACGCGTTAAAAATGGTAGTGTAGCATAATATGCCCCAAATCCAGATTCATTCTTATCAGCAACGCCCTTATACTAGTACATAGGGCTATAGGCACTTCGAGGGCTTTGGGTTCCACGTTTCGGATTGCAAGGTTAGACTTCTGCTCTGAGAAGCTCGTCCAAGGTGTAGACCGGTAATAGGTTCATGCGGGAGTCGGCTATAACATAGCCCGTGAATGTGCGCTGCGCTGCAGGCATTCCACACACTTGAGGCAGGTGGACGAGATGAAGTGGAAGGACTTGGGAAGGCTTTCATTTGAATCACATGAGCGGCAGTAATGGCTTGTGCTTTAGAGCCCTCCAGGTTGCAGTTATTGCGGCTTCGAAACTCGAACCCGCGACGAGAATTTCATCATCGAACTCCCCTCCGGGCCCCTCACTTGACAAGGGTGACATACGGACATCCTCATGTTAAGGCCAGTAAGCAATGGAGCTCATACAACTCTTACAACTTACAACGTACAACCCTTGAAACCGCAATAAACCCATGAAGCAACAAATCACAAAATCTGTGCAGCAACCATGAAACCCAATAGAATTCCAAAAGCCTGTACAACCTACAACTCCTTCTAGGATTCTGAACCCTTGAAAAACGAGGCCCTCAACCCCAAATCCGCAACCCTAAATCCCAAATCCTTCGAAATTCGAGACCCCAAACCCTGAACCTAAACCCAAACCCTGTGCGCTAAAAGCCCTGTAAGCCCTATTGTAAACCGTAGATGTAACCCCCCAGACCTTCCAAAATCCCTTATAATTCAGGAATAAGCCTTAAATCATATTAGGGATCCTATTATAATTTATAAGGTATATTCCTTAATTCAGGGATTTTGGAAGGTCTGGGCCCTTAACATGCTCTAGTCCTGGTCGTTCTTGAACTCCTGGCCGCAGAGCCAGTCGACCGGCAGCGTCACCTGATGGGAGGCCAAAAGGGGGGTTTAAGATTCTTGGGGTAGGTATTCCTTAATATGAACCGTACTATGGAAACCCTAATCCCTACTAAACCCCCATAGGCTAAAACCCCTTTTGGCCTCCTATGATCACCTGCCCAGAGCCCCGGAACAGCAAGCGGCGGGGTGTTGCACAGTTGTTGTTGTTCTTTTGCTTTTGCATGGCGGCCCTTTACTAGGGTGCAAAATAGGGTTTGAGAAGGCGGTTTACTATGGCGCTCTAGGGTTTTTGTAAAAAGGCGTGATACAAAGGGAGTTTCATACGAGTCTATGTGCGCATTAGAGGTTTGAAAGTATGTTGGGGGTTGTTTAGAGGAGGACAAGTGCACTAAGGGAGTTGAGGATTCCAGACTTGAGCCTAAACCCGAAACCCTAAACCCTAAACCAAGACAGGATTCCTCGATGGGTCCCATGTCTAATGCTTTCACACGAATAGGCCTTTCTCTACCCCAGATGAACCGACTGCAACGCCCTGTAAGCACGTCCTCACCGCCCGAAACCCTAAACCCTACACCCTTATGACCTCATTAATATCCCCGAACCCTAAACCCTACCCCTTATGACCTCATTAATATCACCGAATCCTAAACCCTAAACCCCACCCTTATGGGACTTATGAGACCTTTACAAGACTGATCCCTCCTTCTCAGCCGGCCTCGCAGCCCTTGGCCTTTGCCTTGTCGAGGATGCCCTGCACGATGTCTGCACCTGACATTGTGGGAGTTTCCGAAATTAGGGGAATCCATATTGATAAGGATCCCACTATGTAGGGTACTGTATTAAGGTCCCATATTTCAACTCCCATATGGCCCATATGGTTTCACAGAGCCTGGTGAGTTCGGAGCCAAAGGGCTCTAGCTAACTCTATAAGGGCTACTGTCAGGGATACTGTAACGGTACTATGATATGGGGGCCTTAATAATTCGAATAGGGTGTTGGGGTAAAAATAGCATATTTGTACTAAGGAACCCTGGGAATAACATTGGCAATTATTTAAGCTTCTATAGTACATCCATCCAACCACCGGACGGTGTAGGGCTTGTTTGGGATTGCGCCTAGGGTTTGGGGTTTGGGACTGAGGGTTGGGGTATAGGGCTCGTTTCGGCTTGTTTCTAGGCGCCCGTAAGCCCCGAGTCAAGCTGAAAACCGTAGCGAAAGAAGTCTAAACCCTACATTCTTTACCCCGAACCTTAAACACCCGACTCTAAAACCACCGAGTCTGATCTATATACCTGCCACTTGTCTTTCGAAAATGATCTCACACACTTCAGAATGCTGTAAACCTGCTGGAGAAAAGCCTATCGTTTAATTAGGGATTTTGCTGGTTTCCCACATGTTAGACCCAACCCCCGCATCGACTCCCCTCACGGCGATCCATGCGTTGAAACGGGGTTGGAACCCAGCGAAGAAGTGCTCGCCTTCCACATGGCGTCCGGCGCCTGAACAACGGTCGCTGCTTCCTCCGGTCTCCGTGGGCTCGTCGTTCTGCTGGTTCTCTGGGCCCAACAGTCGTCGAACGTGCGTGCCTGCCGCCCGTTGTAGCCGAGCCCTGCAAGAGGCTTACCCAACCACACCCCTACTCGGCCTTCAGAGCCACGGTTTAGGGTTTAGGGTTTAGGGTTTAGGGCACTTGTTTTTGTCTAAGTCGGGTATCCTTGACGTTGGCTGCAGCCCCGAAACAACAGGCAAAAAAGCTCCTCCCGGGAGCAGCCCTGCAACATCACAGTCGTGCAGCAAGCTGGGTCTATTTTCTCTATAGCCATTCTGTCAAGTGGCTGTCCTTGGATGTGGCACACAAATTAAAAAATTGCAGCCATTTTTTTGGCGGGGGGCTTCCTTACTATAACTAAAGTGTATCTTAATAATTATCTATACTATTTGGGGGTTCCTGATTGTAATTTTAGTACAAATGATTGTTAATACTCCACTGTCAGGGAGGGGAGAATCAGGACTGCGTCCTGTTCAAAAACGATGTTCATGGATACCGGATGGCATGGCATTGCTAGGGCCAGAGATCAGGCCTTAAGGGACGCGTTTAGGGTTTCAGGAGGTTAGGGTTTAGGCCGTAGGGATACTGGAGTCTCTGGATTCAAAGACAAGAGCGAAACCACTGAAATCGAAGATGCTTCGGCACTGGGTCTGGTCGCTTTGCTGAAAACCTTACTTAACCTTATGCTTCAGGGACCTTATGATTGGGTCCTTCAGGGGTCTGGGGCCCTAACTATAAGGTCTCTGGAAGCACAGGGCAACACCTATGCTGATTTACGAATGAATATAAGTATGGGTTCATCGCCCCGGTTGTTGCATTTCGGAAGACAGTAGGAGAGCTAGCTAGAAGCAAAGAGTAGGCAACACATGAACGAGCCTGCCTCCCACAAATCCATATAAGGAAACAATGAAAAGATCCCAAAGACCGTAAGCAACAACGAGCAAGTCACATTGTTAATCCGCAAAAAAAACAGGCGCCAATACGTCGAATTGGGCTTTGGGATGCAATGGGTTTGGGGATGTTCAAAAACCCCCAAGAGCATAGTTGTTCAGGCCTCGTATACCCTAATCCATAAACTTTATAAACCCTAAATTTTAAGCCCTAAACCCCCAAACCCCGAAACTCGAAATAAACTTATAAACCCTAAATTTTCAAACCCGACACCCCGAAACCCTAGACCCTCCATGTGAGAGCTACTGGTTCACCCTTCAGACCTGGACCCGTCACACTAGGCTTCGGGCCCTTCTTGTCGAAAAGGCTCTTGCCTGGCATAGGCTTCACGGTCTCTGGTTTAGGGCTAACCTTAAGCCTGAATAACCTACCTTTTTAGGGTTCCTTTCTATATTTCCTTATATAAGTCCTTACAAAGGTAGGTCCTTCTGGGTTAAGGAAGTGTTTCGGGTGTAGGATTTGGCATCAGTGTCTAGGCTTCTTCGCATTGGGTTGTTCTGCTTCTGATTCACTTCATCTTGATATGCACTGGAGCCGCAGATTTACATTCCCCTCCAGAAGAAACTGTAGTGCAATCTCCACACTCTAGAGCAGGCCGCGATAATTGAAAAACCGTGACAGGCCGCAAGGACGGAATCCCAAAACCGCCGTCGATATTTGACAAAGTGCAGTATGGGTAGTTTGCCAAATTAGTCTCCCGTTTTGTTGTCCCTTTGAAACGGATGCCTATACCATTTTCGGGACCTAGACAGCGACCCTAATTTCGAGAACTAACAGTTTGCCGAGGAAGATCCGAGGAGAGGCCGCGAAAGCCAAACCCTACTAAACCGCAATGAAGGCCCAGAGGTCTAGAACATCAAGTGTCCCAACGCAGGCCCCTCAATATTTAGAATATGGTCTTAGTTTTGGGGCCCAGTATGCTATAGATTTTCCATTATTTTGCACCCCCAAAACTGTATAGGTGACTATTACGGCCCCTACAGTATCCACCCCCAATCCCCAGCTACTGGAAAAAGCTCTTGGCGTTACCCCCGAAGACACCAAAACTCATAGGGACCCTTAGGGGGGTAGGGAGGATGGGGTAGGGGACTATACTTCCTTAAAGAGGCCTTATTAAGTCCTTCTGATGGGCATTAAGGCCCGCTACCCCCCCCCCTTCCGCCCCTAAGGGTCCTTATGGTGCTACCCCCGAAGACACCAAAACTTAAACCACTCGGAGTTTCCGAAAAAAGGGGGCCCTAAAAAGGCACCAAATAGTAGGATCCCGATTCTCAAGACCCCAAAATCAGGTACCCCCCAAATTTTCGGAAACTTTCAACCGTATAGAGCCCTTTAAAGGAACCCTTACAGTCCCCTTATAGTAACCCTTTAAAGGAACCCTAAGGTACGCCTAATTTTCGGAAACTCCCTGTAGGAGTTTCGGATTGCCGAAGAGACTGGGACTCCGAGCCGATCTTCATTCCGAAGCACTGCCTCAGATCGTAGTGGGGTTTAGGGTTTAGGCTTTTTTATAGGGGTTTCGGGTTTGGGGGTTTCGGGCTTAGGGTTTAGGGCTTAGGGCTTTTTTGAACTCCTTTTTGCACCTGGAGATCAAAAAAGGTGTTCGAAAAAAAAGAGGGCTTTTCCGTTTGGGGTTTCGGATCATGGAAAGGCTTGCGAAGCAATGCTATGCTCTTAAACTCCTTCTCGTCACTCAAGGGGCTCCTTGCTATGCTTTTCCTCGCTCATAGCTTGGCCATGCCCGCAGACACACATACATAGAGACTACATATTTACTGACCTGTGCCCTCGTCTCTTTGTTCGTTCGTTTGTGTGTTCATGAGCAATGCATGCAGACGACCATGTAAACCGAAAGGCATGTAGACCGAAAGATTACAGGTACACATGATGCACAAGCACGAACATTGCTGCTTCTCCCAAGCCTTGTTGTTGCACGGGATGTGTCCCTGGTGTGATTTTATCTTGGATATTCCACCGTTTGGGCTCTAAGTCCACCCTTTGGGCTCCATGATAGGGGCCTTAATACTCAGAACACGGTGTGGCGACATGTCTTAATAACTATCTGTAGAAACATATTAAGAAACCCTGAGGTACTGTACTATTACTCAGTATTCAGGCTCCTATGCTGCCCGGCATTTGGCGTTTGTTTTAATTTGTTTGTTTATCTAATAGTCTCCAGCTGCCGCCCCGGGTCCAGATGCGTGGTCAGAGAAGCTGCACAAACGCGTAGCAAAGTCAGTTTTAGTGCGCAGTATATTAAGAAAATAGGTGGGTAGTTCTGTAGATTAGGATCCCGTTTCAGGTCCCTAAATATGTGGGTAGTTCTATAGATTCGGATCCCTCTTCGGCCCTAGGCCCTCAACATAGTACGGCACCCTTATACAAAGGCCTTTAAAAGGGACCCTCCCTTCGAAAACCAGCGAAAAGCTGGTACCAGAGTCCATGCTCCATCTTCCCAATAGTAAACAGCCCAGACAGATTGGTACTGCTGATGGACAAAATCCTGCATTACCCTTTATAAGGAATATACCATAGTTCCCATAGTTTAGAGTCCTTAGGGTCATGCAGGATTTTGTCCATCAGCACTATCAGCGTCAGAGTCATCCTCTGCATCGTCGTCACATCATATAAACATCGAGAATGCCCAAACCTTCCACAATCCCATAATTAAGGAATATACCTTATAAATTGTAATAGGATCCCTAATACGATTTAAGGTATACTCCTTAATTAAGGGATTTTGGAAGGTCTGGGTGGTGCCGAACAGCTGTTATCTACACTCTTACGACATCTAGCTTTGTTGGGCTTAGTCCTTTTTCTGCCGCTAAGTACGTCTAATTATTCATCACGCCAAATGTCTCACTGCTCTGACTGTCATGTCGGATATTTCCGACCGACCCGAAACAATAATCCTGAAACCCTTCACCCAGGCGTAATCCTTGAACGCCAAACCTTTGATCCTTAAACCCTCAACCCTTAATCCTTAAACCCTAAACCCTTATATATAATCCTTAAACCCTAAACCCCTAATCCTTAAACCCTAAACCCTTATATAATCCTTAAACCCTAAATCCCTAAGTCTTTAAAGCCAAGCCGGGCGGCTTCAAGAAGGTGTAGGCCATGCCGCCGCAGATGATAATGCCATCGGCCTTCGTCCGGGGACGCAGGGGGCATCTAGCAAAATGTGTGTAGGGTTTCGGGCGCATGGTATTTAGGGTTTTAGGGTTTCGAATGTAGAAACATCTTCTAGGGCAGAAAGGTGTAGAATGTAGAAGCAGCTTCTGATAAAATGCTTACTTTAGACGGGGCGACTATAAGGATTACATTAGGGCCCCACTATATTCCTATTATACCACTGTTACAGGGTGGGGAGCCCCTACTAATGCACACTGCAGTTATTAGGTTCCTTCGGAAGGTTTGCAAGTCGCTGAAGGGCCAGCCTCCTATACAGCGCCGACCCAAGCAGAGAGGAGAACGACAATACCAGCGTCATTAAGTGTTTAGGGCTTAGGGTTAGTGCTTGCATGCAAACGAAGCAGTCTCAAAGTAGTAGAAAATTCTCAAAACTGGCAGTGGCGGAGGCAGCGGCAGTGGCAGTGACGGTAGTAGGCACAGACACGCAGGTCCAGAGCATGCGAAGCTATTAGAAACCTTATCCATCCTTACCTTCAAGAACCCTCCACTTACTTGGCAGTCCCATATTCAGAACCCCCCCTGCGATACTCGAATCAATCACCACACAATCCCTGTAAAACTGCACGACACCCTTCCAAAACCACGCAACAGAACAATAGTAAATGCTCTGCTGAAACCCTAAACCGCCAACCCCAAATCCTAAAACCAGAACCACGGAAACTGCAAAGCTCCACCCTTTTTGTTCCGATCGGCCCTGCCTTGTCGATGAGGTTCTCAATGAGCTTGATCCTTGGCTTTAGGGCGTTTTTGCGGATTGACAGGCCATCTGGAGGGTTGTATACGGGCTTTCTAAGGTGTGAGAGCGTGTCTTTAACTCATATCTAACAAAAACGTCTTTTTGCGTTTTCATGGCGTCTGAGGAGGACGATGATAGTGGTTCGGATCAGCTGGTCGGGCGGTTTAAGGAGGTCTTTTAGGGTGTAGGGGGGCTTATCAGAGTTGTTGCCTGAGGGTGTTTGCTTTCTTGAGAAGTCCTTGAGTATGTCAAGTTGCTGTCTTGAGAAGTCCTTAATTCGCCTCGGCCCCGGCCGAAGCGGTCAGAGGTTCCCCCGGCCCCCCCCCCCCCCCCCCCCCCCCCCCTCCCGCCTCCCCGCTCTTCCAGTGCCAGCACTAGTAAGTAGGCTTATAAATTAACTCTGGTTACTAAGTCCCATGATTCTTTAATGTTATTTTTTTCCTACAAGAGCTTGCTGCAGATAGTAGCCACTCGCCGCATGCGCGTGCAGCCGGGCCGAGGCGGACGACGCGCAGCGTTTCAAATTATGTCAAGTTGCTGTCTTAAGAAGTCCTTAATTATGTCAGGATCATTAGGAACTTTAGGATTCGTCCGGGGCTCCGAATCAGCTAGTTTGCTGAAACTCCCCAAGGTACTGCAGACCGCAGAAAAGGTCGATGCCTCAGAAAGGTCCCTTGTGCGAGGTTCAGGATAAACCATAAATCCTAAACCCCTAAACCCTAAACCCTAAAGGTTTGTTTAGGGCTCGGAGGGAGTCCACGGCAGAGCTATGGACCTGAGCTCTGCCAGTCCTTCGGAGTACTCTAGGGAAATGGCATGTAACAGCGCAGATACTATAGGGGCCTAAATAGTAGCCAATACTATTTTGGGGATTCCTTATTGTAGTTATAGTATAATAGGCCCCAAAACCCTGTTCTAATTATGAAGGCCCCTATTTTAACTCTTGGTGCCGGAGAAGAGGCCCGAAATGCGTCCTACACAAAAAATCGCCAAGGGTGCGGCTTGTCGCTGATCTTGGCGCCGCCGACCACGGCAACTAGCGGTCGCTGAGGGTTCGTCCTCGGCGAGAGGATCCGCGACTTTGCCGCCGAAAAGTTCAGGAGTTCTAAGTAAGGGTGTTTCGGTTTGGGGTTTAGAAGCCCAAACCCTAGGGATTTAGAAGCCTAAACCCTAAACCCTGAACCCCTTAACCCTCAACCCTGAACCCCTAAACCCTCAACCCTAAACCCCTGAACCCTCAACCCCTAAACCCTGAGACCCTAAACCCAAAGACTCTAAAGGGACCAGCCCTCAGCTCGCAACCTAAAGCGAAAGCCAAAACCCGCGGAGCCCAAATACCGGAAAACCCGAAACCTAAACCTTTAGGGGTATAGGGCTCTTCTTTTTCTTTATGGGCCCTTTTCCGTCTGCAGTTGCGTCCGAAACCCCGATTCGAGGGAGCCTGATTGCCCCACCATCGCCTTTACGATCGGGTTTAGGGTTTAGGGGGTTTATGCCCAAAAAACCCTAAACTTTGACCTGAACTCTGAATACAAATTCTTGAACCTTGAATCCTAAACCAAAACCCAAAAACCCTAAACCCCAAAACGCAAACTCCGTGAGCTTCGGGCCTTGAGTGGGACCCTTTGCGGCCGAGGATATGGAGTCAAAGTGTGGCAGAGCACCGAAACTCATTGTGAGTACACGTTCATCAGCATTCTTATTATCATTATTCCTATTTTCATTGTTTTCTTTGTGATTACGTGTATGGTTATGGTTATTAATGGGGTTTGGGGGTAAATGTTGAGGTATATATACCTTAGCATATACCCCAAAAACCCATTCTAATTAGCAGTCGATCTCTAACTTGCAAACATAACTATCGCAGTCGTGGCTAGCGGTAGTACTCGCAGCCGGAGCGATCAGCAGCACTAAACCCTAAACCCTCAACCTTAACACCCTAAACCCTAAACCCTAACACCCTAAACAGTAAGCAAACCCTCACCGGGACCCAGGCAAGACCTGTGAGAAGGCTTTCAGCTCCTTGTCGATAAGAAGGCCAGCAACCTGCGGTGGAGTTAATAAAGGGGCCTTAATCATTAGAATAGTGTTCCTTTAAAGGGTCTACGCTGTAAGGGTACTATAATATAGGGGCCTTAATAATTAGAATAGGGTTTTGGGGCCCATTATCTTACATTTTTGAAAAGTAAATCCCACAATAACACAGGTAATTATTGAGGCCCCTATAATATTGTCAGTTCCTTGAAGGGCCAGTACAAGGGTTCTCTGATCTGGCGCCTTGTCAAAATTAGGGTTCCTTTTTGGTGTACCCTAAACAATAGGTGCCGTACTATAATAGGGACTCAAAAAGGGACCCTAATTTTGACAACCACCCAATAACTAAATACAAACGGGTCTAGAGGTGTGTTTCTATGTGAGAAAGCAAAGAACCTTGCATGAAAATAGCACAAGTATTGTTGAATTCTCGGTAGTGAGGCTCCTAGTTGCGGCTCAAGACGTTCAGGTATTGCGATTTGGGGTTGAGGGTTTAGGGTTTCGGAGTTTAATTAGTGTCTTGCCAGGGTCGGGGAACTAAGACGCAAAGCTCCGAAACCTTCGTGCCGCTGGCTCTTCCTACCTTGCTAGCTGCGCACCAATAAACCCTAAACCCTATAAACCTGAGCAACGCTTATCCTGGCTTGGACTTTCAGCAAGGGTGGTTGAGTGTGGTGTGGCGAAAGGCCTCGTTTAGGCTTGCGATGTCGAGGATCAACCACAAGAAACCCGAAAAACCCTAAATGCCAAACCGCAGCAGCTGATCCGGAGCCCAAAACCCAAAACCCCTAAACAACAGCACCTAGTTAGTTGCTAAGTTCATAAGCCCCCCCAAAAGTGTACACTTTTAGTTTATAGGGCGTAAGATTCTCCCAAAAAGTGTAAAGTGCTTCCACTCGGCTACTAAGAGCATGTCCCCTGCAGGATGGGGCTCCAAAGTAAAAAGAACCACTCTTCTAATGGGCAAAACAGCTGAGCCTAGAGCCTGCATCTAAAGCCGAAAGCCTAAGCCCCACATGCCACAGACTAAACCCGAATCTGTAAGCCTAAACGCAGAAAAGGTAAACCCTCCACTAAACTCTGAATCCTAAGCCCCGAAGCTAGTGCTAAGGGGCCTTCTCTGGAAGGTTGCAACCCACCATCGACCTGATCACGGGTGTTCGAAGAGCAACTCGAGTCTTGGAGGCATTTTAGAGGGATTCCTATTATATAGTGTTTAGGGTCTAGTAAGGGTTTAAGGTATATAGATCCCTATATTATAGGAAAATGTACCCTTAAAGGGCACCCCATTTGGGCTGCTGGAAGAGCGGTTCACGGTTGTAGGCTTCAGGGCTTCCATTTGCAGGTTTGTAGAGCTGTTCGGGAGTAGCAGGGCGTTGCAGGCTTCCACGCCTTACGTATCGGGTACTTCTGTATGGGGGCCTGAATAATTAGAATAGGGTCTTGGGGCATATTATACTACAACTATAACAAGGAACCCTATGTTGGGGGGACACTTAAGCTCTACCACTGTCATCAGTCAAGTTCAAAAGACGTTCGCGCCTTTTGTGTCTGAGACCCCTTGAGTTTATGCTGCAAAGAACTGAGTTGTCCTTTGAACCCTTTGGAAATTATTTACTATTATGGTTCTCTACAACATAGTAGGGGAAAGTAAAAAAAAGCCCAAAGGACAACCCAGAGAAAAAGATAGTGGTAAGGACAACTCAGCCTTGGGCGCACCCACACCTTTTCGTAACCATGCAGCTGAGAAAATGTTACCTTTGGTTAGTAGGGAATGGAGGAATGGGGTAAAATTATAACTACTATTACTACCATTCTTCCATTCCCTACTAACCAAAGGTAAGAAACAGCAAAGCTCATGCCGATATTGAAAACTACTTCGTTCTAGGATGTAGGGCTAGAGGTATTCGGTTGGAGGTTTAAAGGTTTAGGGTTTAGGAGTAGTAGGGTTTAAAGGGTTCGAGTGGTTACGGTTAGGGTTTAGGCGTTCAGCCGCCTCTCCAGAGCTTACTAAGGACAATCTTTTCAGCCGTACGGGGATTCTTGGAGTGATTCCGAGGAAAGCATCCCACGACCGCCCGAAGATCTCCATCAAAGGCCCGAGCTGCGTATCCCACGCTACAATCACTAGAAACCCCAAAGCCCCGAACTACTTAACTCGTGAACCCTAATCCGAAAACCGCCTCAAACTCCAAAGCCAGTAAGGTTGTGTATGGCCTAGCCGTCTGAGATCATGGCGAGTGAGCCCTGTGTGCGGTGCCAAAAGCATCGTTAACGTAGACGTCACCTCGGGGCGGCGGCCTAAGAGGATAAGAAGGACCTTACTGATTAGAAGACGGTTTCGGTGGAAACAAGGGGTGCCTTGTTCTGGGGTCCTAAAAATAAGGATCTTACTATTTAGGAATTTAGGATACTATACTAGGGTCACAGTCAAACACAGACTACATGGGGATGCTCTTGTTAATTACCAGGCCTGTGTATGAGTGTTGTTGGAAGCCTTCGAGGTTTTAGGGTTTGGGTGCTTTAGGGCTTTTCGGTTGGATAGTTACTTAAAGGAAAAGAGGCAATATACCAAACGGTGAGGAAAAGAATCACTTCGAGCACGGCGGCGGTGAGCTCCATGATAATGATGACGATGACGGCAGCGATGGTGATGATACTGATTCTGTGATGACGCAGATGCTGCAGAAAAGAAGTGCAAAAACACTGATCTGAGCTTATCATTGCTGATGTTGCTCTCTCTGTTGCACTTGATCGCACTATTCTGCTTACATGTCATGAGGGCTCAAAGCGCCGAAACCCCGAAACCTTAAACCTCCACGGTTTGGCTTCGGACGTGTGAGTCCGATCCGGAGGCTTCTGGTCCCCACAATCCCTGAATCTAGGTCTCCAGGGCATAAATCCCTCTATCTAGCTGTCTATCTATCTATCTGTATAGTTATATATATATATATATATATATACATATATAGTGTAGGGTTCAGGAATATACATATATAAAAAAAAATATATATATATATATACATATATGGATGGTCACCCCCCATGATCCACCGCCGGCTTTCTTCCATATGTAAAACATATAGAAAGCACTATAAATACCGGTAAACATGCTATTGTACAAAACTCAAATAGAAGCCCTGCGTCACAAAATCGGGTGTCTACATTGCATAGAGTTTCAGGAGCATCTCCCCTGTGGCTTTCCAGGCATTACGGCCCTTGTTCCAGTATGTAAACTGAGCTGCACGAAGCTTGCGTCGCAAGACAGCATTTCCTGGCTTGCGAGGGGCACGCCGAATATAGGAGCGGACACGTCCCCAAAAGCGATCAATAATCTGCGTGCCGGATTTCACACGCAATTCACCGCCCTCAGGAAGCTTCAGGTCGTACACCTTCGTGAAATGGGGCTTGATCCTTCGGACCTGACGTGGACGAGCTATCACTGTGTGATAATATCGTGAAGCAGAACAATCAGTTTAACTACACAGTCCGTAACAACAAGAAATAGAAGAGTGTGTTATGAAGTACAGTTGAAGACACCTGGCTCTTCAGCATCACACGCTTCTTTTTGTGTACGACATTTGCATGTAGAAGGCCGGGAATGCTGAGCTTGTAGGCGCGAGCTCCATCGGTGTGAAGCACAACTTCGTTGCGATCTCGAAGAAGTGGTGTGCCGATTTTGCCCCACTCGATCTTGCGAATTGGGCCTGGCCCCGGCGAGTTTGGCTTCGTCGCGGGGGGCTGCAGCCGGAACAGCCGGAGGGAGGTGAGACGGCCGCGCTCCACGCTGCCACACCACTGTTCCCACTTGAGGTTGTATGCGGGATAATCTACATCGTCCACCAAAGCCTTCCCCAGGTCAACCTCATCCGCTTCCACATCCTTCCACATGGAGCTAGATGGGTCGCCGTAGGTGATGAGCTTCTCCTGGCTCTCGACATACCTTGCCCGAGCAATCTCTAGATTAGTGAAGATGCGCTCAACAGGCTTGTGGTCCATATCGAGAATCAAATGGGCGGCGGTGCTAGAGACACCGGCTACGGCCGAGAACAAAGCGCAGGCCTGAGTGTTGATTTCTGTATAGCTGTTGCCAGCACCACCAAAGAAGATGGTATGGAAGTCATGGGGTTGAACGAATTTGCGACACTTCTTGCATGGGGTTGAACGAATTTGCGACACTTCTTGAGAGGACACCGATACAACCATGCATTCCGGGAGGAGTGCTTCGTGAGTTCGCCTAGCTTGCCTTCACCCCAACGAGGACACAGCTTCTCTGATCAATCTTGCAAGATGTTCTCCTTGGTAAGACGTAAGTGTTCGAATCAAAGTTTCCTCCCGCATTCTCCTGAATTGGGGGATGGAGTGACCCCATCGCTGTCGGTCGGTCCTGTTCTTGTGGTAGGCTCACGATGTCGAGCATAAGGAACTGGAGCAAACTTTTTCATCGTCTTGGAGTTGTGGTTGGTGACGGGCTTCTTGTAGAGATTGCGTACCTTACCTGTTTTCGGCAATGGCCAGCACCTTCCTTCCAGCTGATTTCTTCTGGTTGATCTTCTTGGGCATGGCAGAGACAGGATGCCGGAAAGGGATACAAACAATGCACTATTGATGGATTGCTGGAGCCAGTCCATATGATGCATAGTGTCACGCTTTTACAGTGCTACTGAGGAAGTATGAACACGAGATTGGAAACTGTTCGCTCTTTTGGAAGCAAACGACACTGCATCATGCCGCTACAACTTCTAAGTCAAAACAAGGGGTTCCCCAAGAGTACGCCGCAGAGTGGGGTCACTGCAGGCCCACAGCGATTTCATTTAAGTTTAAAGGTTCACACTTGATTCTAGTAGGAACAACACTAAACGGTGGGCCTGGATTGCTACATCATTTGCAGACGAGAGCTTTGTTTGGCGAGCCCCTCACTCCGCACAGTCCATCTCATCTCCGTCCTCGAGCTTGTCGATGTGTTCCTCCAGCATCTTTTTCCGAGTCCTGCTCCAAAGCGTCCGGCTCGTCCTCCGGCTTCTTCGTGCTTGTTGACTTCGAGGGTGATGGAGACGAGATATCAAAGATGCCCGTCGCGATTGTTGAGGACAGTGCACGGGAGAAGGCAGATGACGGCTCAGTTTTGATCTTCACTGGCGAGGGAGCACCTACTGAAGCTTCGTCTCGAAGTCATCTGGAAGATCTGTGCCACCCTTGCGATGGTAGTCGTAGACGCTGCGGGAGTCTCGATGCAGGTAGTCTGTCTTGTCGCCCAGTGGATGACGAAGAACAGGGCCTGGCTTCTCACTTGCCGGGCGCACATAAAGAGATGTGGCAGTATTCAAGAAGATGTGGGTCCGCTTGAGAACAGCCATGACCGTTGCATTGTTGTTTTCCCTGGGATACCATGAGGGTTCCAGCATCTAGAGGAAATCGTCGTGGGAGACATATGTGGGAATGCCTTCGGCGTGCTGGAGGAGGGGCTGGTCGAATTTTGGCCCCGTGTTCTCTTCGAACTCATTGACACAGTAGATGCGGGTTTGGCCCTTGGCCCATTTAGCAGCGCCCCGCCTGCATAGCAAGAGATCATAGCACAACTGCTAACAGTTTCATGCTTTAAACTAACTGTATTTAGGACATCAGACTACCAGAATGAACTTCCTGCCTTTCTTTGGACATGGACTCAATATTGCCAACGTCCGTAAAGGCTTTCACCTTGCCAAATGGTTGATCTGAAAGAGTGCCATCGTCAAAGATGTCCGGACGCATCTGAGAGCCTGCTTGTCCGCGAAAGAAATCAAACCCGCAAGCTTGACGAAACGAAGGTCGGATCTCTCCGTCCTTTTTGGCCTTGTGGATCCAGTAGCGGGAGATGGCTATGGCGAGTGTCCTCGCCACAGGAGTTTTACCGCACCAGGAAGCCCATGGAATCCAATGGCCTTTTCCAGCAACGTAGGGACGAGAGGTTCCACGGCACGAAGAATGCGGATGTCCAGGTCATATAGTGTGAGGGGCCATACTTCATGGACTTGTGACAGGACGCCATCCTGAGCAAGGTTGCGGAGGGATTTTTCCACTAACACCAGAGACCACTTGTAGATGGGGGATTCCTTTCGAGCGATTTCCTTGATGATCCACCGAAGTTGTCTGTTCTTGATGTTCTCACGGGGGCCATGGTCCTGGATGAAGTCAAATCCGAAATCCCATTCTTCAGGTGTTCGCTCTGCTTCAGTTTCTTCTTCCTCACGAATTATCATTCGAACAGGTAGTGCAAGCACTTCTTGACGGCTTTGATGTCAGCTACCCAATCCACTGCTTGACACCTGCCATAACATAAGTTTTGGACCCGGCTCACGGTCATTTTCTCCGACAAGTTCACGATCTTAACAACGCAGAAAGTCCCGCTATTCTAGTTGATGATTGCGATGTCTATCGTCGTGGGAATGTCAATCTTCTGGGTGAGGCCGTAGGGAGCCGGAAGGTCGTGGATCTTCTTACTGACGAGAGCCTGCTTGATTTCAGATTGGGGGAATCAGAGACATCAGTGATGATGTCGACGAAGCACTTCAGAAGTCCACCTGCTGGCGAATCCACGAGAGGGAGATCAAGTGGTTTCAAGGACCCAGAGGACTCAACAAAGCTGTGCGTGTCGAGCGTGAAGATGTTTAAGTTCTCGGCGAGATGTTTGACGTCGTCACGGCACACATTTCCGGAAGTGAGCTGTGATGCCATGGTTGAAGACGGCAGTCGAGAAAGATAGGGAAGTGCAATGCTTCGAGCAATACCAGGCTGCAGTATTCAGTTCAGTTGTCAGGAGGGTGCACGATTCTCGATTGCAGCTACAAAGAACATAACAATACCCAGCATATGCGAAGAGATGCCATAACCGTACTGTGTGGTTCGAAACCTAAACTTGTTTCGCCACTATAAGTTTTACTGGGCCTTCCCATACAGCTCCATGTTTCCAACTTTTTGTTGGTCTGTTTTCGGTGCGGAAGCTTCGCAGTGAGAATGGGTATTCATGTTTTGGCAAAGGTATAGCAAATGAAAATAAAGTATTCGGCCCACTGTGGGCCTTACTAAGACTTCTCTTACAACTTAATTTTCCCAACAGCTGTCACGGTATGTCTTCGGTCCGGAGGTTCGAAATGAAAGTAGGCACTAATATTTTGGCAAAGTACAGCACAAGAATACAAACAATTCGGGTGCGGCATGGCAACTGAGAGCATGAATGTGGGCCGGTGTGATCTGTTGGCAATGTACGGATAGAATCTTTGATTCGACTCGGTGACGTATCTGGGCATGCAGAAACGCACTCCTTCATTGTGTGGATATAAGTGACGGAGGCCTAAAAGAAGCGTTTTTCCCGCATTTTTCATGACTGTCGGCCCAGGTTTTTTTTGCAGCACAACGATTTCCCAAGGATTTTGGATGTAAAAAACTGCCATAAACGTACTTGGACTGAAAAACCTGCGTGGCCTACTACGAAAATTAGCTTTTTTGCGCCACTATCGGTTTTACTAAAACTGTCCTTACAGCTGTATTTCTCCAAATACTTTTATGGCAGTTGTTTTGCGCCCAAGATGGCTAGATAACGGATCCGCTCTGGAGAAAGCACACGAAAAGGCTTCTAAAAAACTAACCCTTCCCCGCAAATATAAAACCCATACTCTCTAGCTCTGTTTCGATGGGCACTTTGCATATCGCACCCCACCCCCCATGATCGACCGTTGCCAGACCGCCAACGGTGGATCATGGCGGGGGGAGGGGGGTCGAGCATATATATATATATATATATATATATATGTATGTATATATATGTATACATATATATATATATATACACACATACAAAACTATATATATATATATATATATACATACATATATATACACATACATATATATATATATATATATATATATATATATATGCATATCAGTGCAAAATAATGACATCATGCACGGAGCCCGATGTATGATTCAAACCGGTTGCAAAATCACCTTTGTGTATGCATATATGCATCTGCATGTATACAAGTATCGTGTGTCATGTAATGTTGTATAGAAGCGAAATGGACAAATCGATCTGGCCCTCGGCGCACAACCAGCTGCAGTTGAGAACCATTAAGCATTTGGGCTTTAGGGCTTAGGGTTCAGGGCGTAGACCTGCCCAACAGTTCTTTCAGCCGCAGGCATACTGCGCGAGGTTAATGGGACCACACACACATCGAGAGCATGACTCAATGGTGTGGAAAAACTGCGGCGTCGTTTTGGGCAGCTGCATTCAAGGAAGTAGTCCTACGGCGCGGCGAAGCGCCTATATCATTTGTACATCTCGATGCTGATTGCCATAAAACGTAAAAGTAACGTATATATATATATATATATATAAGTACACACACACATATATAGGTATACATATACATATACAAAATCTGCATATACCCGTACAAACATATACATATGCATATACATATACATAAACATATACATATACATACACATACACACAGTATGATGTAGAAGTCGCCCTGGCTACCATTCTTGGAGGTTCTGATGTTCATCGGGTAGCACACCATGATTCTATAGCTACAAGAGAACCCCTTAATAGTTTGTAGGTATACGGTACATGATTGTGTGTGTGTGTCAAAAAGCAATCCCAACGAGTATTCAATGTTGGCAGTTATTGAGCTTTTAAAACTCACAGTGCTCCTATACTTTAAACCGTCAACTCTCGGCCTTGGCTACGATAGGCGCCTGGAGAATTCGAACAGAGCTTGGGGGGTATATCATACTCTACTCATAAAATCGAAACCCTGACGGATCACGGTGACAAATATACAGGCTTCTATACCCTTACTTGCTGAATCCTGGTTCCTACAGTGAGCTCTCAACAAATAACTTCCCATTCCTAAACCCTAAATTAAAAATTAACCCTAAACCCTAAACCCTAAACCCTAAACCGATGCTTCTTTACGCAAGAACCTAAACCCTCCACATCCTAAGCCCGCAGCTCCCTAAACCCTGCACGTATCCTAAGCCCTCGTAGCTTACCTAAGCCCTAAACCCTGAACCCTTTAAACCCTAGAGGCTCTAAAATCCTAAACCCTCTATCCTAAACCCTATATCCTAAACCCTATATCCTAAACCCTATATCCTAAACCCTATATCCTAAACCCTATATCCTAAGCCCTCTATCCTAAGCCCTTGTAGTTTAGACTTGGACCAGCCCGCAAGTGCCGAAGATGTGGGGCGAGATCTCCCAAGAATGCGCTTTGCAAAGAAATTTCTCCAAGAGGAGTTTCAGGTGGGGTTTAGGGGTTTAGGGCTTTAGAGGTGTAGGGGTTTAGGGGTTGGGGTTTGGGGTTTAGGGGTTTAGGGGTTGAGAGGTTGAGGGGTTTAGGGTTTAAGGGTTTATGGGTTTAGGGTGTAAGGGTTTAGGGGTTTAGGGTTTTAGAGTTAAGGGCAGGTGGAGGGCATCGGGTATGAGCTTCTCCAGAATACAGGGGCCTCGGCAATAAGAATATGGCCTTGGCATTATCTACTACGATCATATTATCGGGACTGTCAGGGGCAACTACTAGCCTTTTCCGACCCCTCCACAGCAACCCTTCATTGTATCACCGTCTTCGAGGCTGCCAATGAAACTAAAGTCTAGGCTGCAGATCAACCTGTCTGATTTAATATAGCGGTGTTACCATGTCGACTAGAGTTTCGGTGATATTTTGTAGAATATTATGGAAAGGAACCCAAAAGTAGTACCAAGTACTTATGCAGGTCCATGTACTACTCCAGTCGAGCCGGCTTTTCAGAGGCTATGACGTTCCCTGCTGGACAAAGGAGTTTACGGCTGGGGACATCTCGCCCAAATTCAAAAGCTTGGATGCAAATTCTGGACCGCTGTACGGGTCGGACGGGTGGAACGATGCGCAGGGGCAGGTGGCAACTACAAATGCGAATTTTAAGCTAACAGAAAGACTGACATGGGGGAGGTTAGCATAGGGACGTGGGGGCCTGTATGATTAAAATCGGATTTGGGGTATGTTGCTGGTTTCAGTTCCTAGACCATAAGTATTGATGGTATGCAAATGCTGGCTGGAAAGGCACGGGCATAAAGTATCCTACAGAGCCAGTGTGTTCAATGTAGAAGTTGTGTTCTTCAGGGTTTAGGTTTAGGCTAAACTCGACTTGATCACCTGAGGATGTCTAGCGGTTGTTATATCAGGGTTAGGTGCTCGGCAAATAATGCCCAAACACGAGACCAGCAGAAGCCGAATGATCAACCCCGGACTTGTACACAAGAGAATCACTCGTGGCCACTATCGAGTTGACGCTCAAGGCTCTCAAAAGCACCATTTCGTAGTCTCGGGTGTCTGATGTCTTCAAATTGTCTTCTGCGTCTGCATCCGTGCCTGCATGCGTGCGCCTGCGCATGCATGTGCAGTGTGTGCATGCGGTGCACGCCAGGATGCATGCTCATAAAAGGGAGGATAACCCGCAACCTTATGCCTGAGCCCGAAACCCTCAATTGAGCCCTAAAGCCTAAAACTTCAAAACCTAAAATTCCAAAGTAAAGTCTCATACTTCCGGCAGCTGTACGGCTTGGGCCGATTTGTTCCTGCCCCTGCCGTAACAGGTCAGGAGCTTCTCGCCGACTAATTTTGGGGCCTTAACAATAAGAACAGGGTTCCTCTGAAGGGCTCTATATCAACGATACCACAAGGGATCTATAAGGGTGCTCCAATATAGGGGCCTGAACAGTTAGAATAGGGTCTTGGGGCCCATTGTACTATACTAATACTTACAATAGGGAACCCTCAAAAAATCTTCGTAATTATTACCCAGAGGCCCCAAAGTAGTTCCTTTTCGGGATTACCTTATAGGATTCTACATATGAACCCCAGAAAGGAGCTACTTTGGGGCCTTTGGGTAAGGCGACTGCAGCAAGTTGACTTAGAGGGCCCTTTGTTGCAAACAGGGAGATCGCCTACTCGCACCAGAGGACCCCTTGTTGTTGCTTCATGGCTGCTTTACGCTTAGGATGTAGGCTTTTGGTATCTGGATTTGTGATGCTTTGTGAATCCTGTCGTAGGATTCAGTCTTTGGCCTTTTCGGCTTTGTGTGTTAGGGCTGAGGGGCCTTAGCCGGACGGTCTTATCCAGCGTACGCTGAGAACCTCCTGTCTGCGCTCAACGGAAAACTGAAGCCGACGCGGCTTGACATTGGGCGGGGTGCGAATAGAAGGTCGCAAGTCTTCATTGACGCCCGGAGAGACTCGACATAAGGTCCCGCATGAAACCTATACCACGAAGGTTCCTACGAAGCCTAAGCCCGCGTCTATCGAAAAAACACCTCTTGTTCACATTCGTAAGTGTCACTGGTCTTGCTTATCAAAGAAATCCTCCAAGCCTCAACTCCAAAAAGAAGCGGTTCGATCTTCTGCCGCTCACTGCTTCTGCGTCTTCCTGAGCAGTCTGAAAGCCTAGACCCAAACGCTTCACTCTGTCGGTGTACGGTTTTAGGGGTTTGGGGGTTTAGGGTTTGGGGGTTTAGGGTTTAGGGGTTTAGGGATTAGGAGTTAGGGGTTAAGGGTTTAGGGGTTAGCGGTTTAGGGGTTATGGTTTAGGGTTTTAGGGTTTAGGAGTTTAGGGTTTAGGGGTGAACCGGAAAGGGCCCCAGTACGCCAGAATTTAAGACTTGAAGTCCTGCTTTGGTGTCGAAACATCGACAACCTCCAATCACAACAAAACACCAAACACAACTCAAACCCCCACCCCCCCAGCCCCCCCGCCCCTCCTCGAAAAAAAAGACAACAGCCAAAGCCCGATCAGCCCTCGCCCCCCCTCCCCTTCAAAAAAAAAAACTGTATTTTCGAACCCTGACCGGGGTTCCAAAGCCTGGCAGGCCTTTGAGTCATTGGGCTTAGGGTTATAGTTTACTATAATTGCAATAAGGAACGCCCAAAACAGTATAGGCAAGTGTTAGGTTTAGAGGCCTCCGTGTTCAAAACAGGTGCAGGTTAGAGTGCAATCGTATCGGGACTAAAAGTGGATTCTCTTGAAATAGCCCCGTGCACTTTATGAGACCTCGAAGCGGGGTCTCGAACCTCCCCACAGAAAAGCAAAGACTGCTTCGAAGCTTCTGCACAGGACCTCGACAGAGAACAAGCCTCATAAAAGTTTGTCCCTCAAGACCCCAGGAATAAACCCTAAACCTTGAATCCTAACCCTGAATCCTAAATCCCAACCCAGAACATCCCAATAGACCCTCAACCCTGAATCCTAACCCCTCAGAAATGCTAAGCCTAAACTCTGCACCCTAAATCCTAAACACGACCTACGCCCCCCCCAACTACCCTCTAATAGACCCCGAACAACCACTATTAAGGGCCATAAGCACTCTTTTTAAAGGGTCCTCCGGTTGATGATCTAAATCCTGCATCACCCATAATAAGGAATATACCATAATTCCCATAGTTTAGGGTCCTTAAGGTAATGCAGGATTTATATCATCAACCGTTGGGGGGTTCTGGTAAACGACACCGCTTCAACCCAACACCCTCCGCAGATGGAGATGGGCCTTTATTAGGGTTGAGGGTTTAGGGTTTTAGGGTTTAGGGTTTGGGGTTTAGGTTTTTAGGGTTTTAGGTTTTGGGTTTTAGGGTTTGGGGTTTTGGGGGGTTTAGGTTTTAGGGATTGGGGCTTTAGGGTTTTAGGGTTTTGGGTGTTAGGGTTTAGGGTTTTAGGGATTGGGGTTTTAGGTTTTAGGGATTGGGGTTTTGGGTTTTAGGGATTTGGGTTTTAGGGTTTTAGGGTTTTGGGTTTTAGGGTTTAGGGTTTTAGGGTTTAGGGTTTTAGGGTTTAGGGTTTTAGGAATGAAGGTTTTAGGGTTGAGGGTTTAGGGTTTTAGGGATTAGGGTTTAGGGTTATGACTTGAAGAAGGCTCTTCCAAGGGACCTTCATGGTTAGAACAGGGTTGAGGCTTTGGGGTTCGTGTCATAATACCTACTATACTATACATGCAATGAGGTGCCCGTAGGAATAGTCGTGGTAGTGCTTCTAGGTATAGTCAGTATAGTCGTGAGAGTTCTTCAGGCATCTGACTTGCAGCAAGCTCCTAGGGGTTCGTTTAGCCCTGCCAGTCCAGAAGCGTATGTTACCGTTACAAGCGACTGACGAATCTTTCTAACCGCCACCCCCCACTTGCATCCGAACACCCCTCAAGACACCTATACCCCAAAGTCCTACTTGGAGGGTCATGGGACTTAGTAAGCAAGGTTATAAGTACCCTGATTCGGGTTGTAAGTATAGTTACCCTAAAAATAACGCTAGTTACTAAGTCCCATGATCCTTTAAGTAAGCCCCTAAAACACCTACGCTTGCAGACCCCCAACTCGAAAGCCCCTAAAACGCAAAGAAACCCAAATCGAACCCCAAAGCCCGGGGCACCTTGCCATGATACTTCGAAAATAGGGTTTGGGAGGCCCATTCTACTATAACTGTAATAAGGAACCCCCAATCTGCAGCCAAGATTCAGTGCGTTCAGCTCAGACTTGAGCTGTTCGATCTCCCTCTGCTGGTTGTCGATCTGGCGTTCATCCTCATGATCGCTGTTTAGGGTGCCGACACCCAGAACTACTAAAAAAGACCTAACCTTAGACCACGAGCCTCCTGCGCTTATGGCGTTTAGGGCCTCCTTGGACATAGGGCTGTAATGCAAGTTTAAGTAAGGTACGGGCTCAAAATTAGGCTTCAAGATTAGGATTGAGGAACTAGGGTGCAGATCAATGGTTTCCGGACCTCGGATGTAGTTCTGCTGGATTTGCTGGCTTGAGGTCAATTTAGGGTTTACGGGTTTGGGTCTTCAGGGCGTTGTCTTGTTGGCTTGGGTTTTAAGTTTTCAGGGCAAGGGACTTATTTCTGAAAAGACATCTTACTTAGCTTTGTGCATTTCGAATGGGACGGGACCATACATAGGGGCATCTCCTTCATGCTAGTCCGGAAACCCTTAGGACAGAGGCACTTCTGGGGCTGAGAGCCACCTGACTGAAAGCACGATATGTATAGAAGTGCTCTTTTGGTGTGTATGGGTGGTTTGACGTTTCCTGGCAGCGGTCCTTACAAGAGTGATGCATGTTTTCTGTGGGATCCCCCAAAACCAAAAGCAAAAGTCAGCCTGATCCTTCCGGTTCCCAATGTTGAGGCCTTATGCCAATAAAGCTGCCGGACACCCAAACCCTGCGCCAAACCAAGTAACTACCACGATGCGCTTTCTTGTAAGTTGTTATTGTCAAGCATATCGCAATAAATATTGTACGGAGCTTAGAAAAACACTGATACAAAAAATATATATATATATATATATATATATATATATATATATATATATATATATATATTTATATATATATATATATGTGTGTATGTGTATACATATACATATACTTAAATGCTATACTTAAGGGCGTGCTGTAACCGTACAGTCTCTTAAGGGGTATATGGCCCGACAAGAAAGCCCTTACATCCCGAAGCCCAATCTATTTCCTCAACCCTGGCAAACCACCAAACCCTGAACCCTTGATCTGAAAGAGGCCCCAACCCTATGTGATATATATATATATATATATATATATATATATATATACACACATATATACATATATATATATACATACATATATATATATATATATATATACATATATATATATATATATATATGTATATATTTACAAATATATATATATATATATATATGAAACTGTATATACAGACATCCATACATACGTACGGACATACATATATACATACAGACATAGATACAGACATACATAGATAGATACATGCATGCATGCAAGCATACATGCGTACATACAAAAATAAAATACATTACAATTACATTACAGAACAGTCCAAGACAGTCCATCCATCCATCCATCCATCCAGCCAGCCAGCCAGCCAGCCGGCCGGCCGGGGCCAGCCATCCATCAATTCATCCATGCATGCGCATGCATGCATGCATGCATGCATGCATGCATGATGCGTGTATAGAGATATAGTTATAGACAATAGATGTTGACATAGATACGGTTTGGATACATGTATAGAAAAAGGTACAGCTCCAGGTGTGGACACATGTAGGTATTAGAGTTAGAGATCCAAACCTAGACATTAGATGTAGGGATAGATATAGATATATTGCAGGTACACACATAGAGATTCAGAGAGAGAGAGAGAGAGAGACAGAGACAGAGAGAGAGAGACAGAGACAGAGACAGAGACAGAGATAGAGAGAGAGAGAGAGAGACAGAGAGAGAGAGAGAGAGAGAGAGAGAGAGAGACAGAGACAGAGACAGAGACAGAGACAGAGACAGAGACAGAGACAGAGAGAGAGAGAGAGAGCGGGAGAGAGCGGGAGATAGACTTTAGTTAGGATTCGGTTTCGGTTTTAGACCCCACCCTAGCCCTAAACCCTAAACACCCGGTCGCTCCTGGCGCTGCTGGTTCTCCAGCATGCGATCGGTGTTTGTTGGGCCACGGTTCTGGCCTCTGCGACCCTCAAAGCCACTACTATAGGGGCCTCAATAATTAGAATAGGGTTTTGCAGCCCCTTCTACTATATAAATGTATTAAGGAACCCGCAAAATAGTATTGGTAATTATTTAGGCCCCTGTATTATATATTTCCCTGGTTCTTAGAAGGGAATCGGGGAATGGGTTAAAGTTATAGAAACTACTGTAAGGGACTATCCTACCGATTCCCTACTAAGAAGCAGGGAGCTTTCCTGTCGCTGAGGCGAGTTCAAGAGCTTCGGGTTCCGAGTTTAGGCGTTTCGGGGTTTGGAGTGCTCTTTTGCAGGCATCACTGGGAATATAGCTGCTGTGGGTGGCTGTCGTCGTCTTGGTTTGGGGTGGCGGGGCAGATGGGGCGGGGAAAACGGCGCAGGACATCGGATTATCGCTTTTGCCAGTATCCCTTTGCGCAGAAAGCTGATGATTCGGGAAGATGCCCTGGGGTTGTCGGAGCTGATAACTTTGTGTGCTCTTCTAGGTGATAGAACAAAGGTACCCCTCGCCCCCTCCCTCCCCTCCCATCATCTGTTTTGGGGTCATGATACTTGGTTTTCGGGGTCTAGGGAAAGTGTGGGGGGTCTCAGATTTTGGCAGTTTAATTACAGAGTTGCTGAGTTCAGGAGTCTCAAAAAGTGTACACTTTCGCTTCTATAAGGGGCTCTATTATGCCAAAAAGTGTAACGTGTTCTCCCTCAGCTACTAAGGTTGCGCCACTGAACGCGAGCTTACTTATACAATAAGGATCTGAGAGCGGACCTTGGCCCTAGTCATCCAAGCACCCTCATGCTGATGGCCATTCTGGCAACCCCAAATAAGCAGTATTCAAGCGCAGTTCCGAAATCCATTCTCAAAAAAAGGTAGAAGTTTCCCAAGTTCGAAGAGTCCGTCGATGCAATTCAACCTTGCTTGAATCTACTCGACACCGCGAGAAGCTTCAGGAACCCGAGCCCGACTCAACACCAGAAACCCTCAAAAACATGGCATTCTAGTGTTTACGGGTTTCGGGTCTTGAGGTTTTGGATTTGATGCCTCCAGATGGAGTGGGGTTACTTCTTCTTTTCAACAGAGAACTCTGGTGGCCTGGGTTTGGGTGGATGTTTCTAGAAAATATACAGGGACTAAAAGGGACACTATTCTTGATTATTCGGATTTCTACGTTGGAGGTTGAGAGCTTGAGAGTTTAGGCTTTAGTATCTGAAGGGTACTTTACCTTAACCTACCAAATCCTGCCTTCTTGTAGGCTCTTATTACAAACCCTAATATGCAATTTATCGGGGCCCTACTTTTTTGTAGTTATGGTAGGTTAAGGTAGTGTTCGGTTAGGCTACGGTCGTGTCAGGGCATTGGGGGGTTAGGAGAAGGGAAGGTTTTCAGCAGGCTGAAGTATAATATATGACTGTACTATAGTATAACATACTGCAATATACCATAATATACTATACCATAATATACTCAGGGTTTAGGGTTCAGGGTCAGGGGTCCGGAAATGGTGGTGTTGGGGAGACCTGACCTCACGGGGTCTGTTGCTCAGGGGTTTCGGGTTTCGGGGTTTAGGGTTCAGGGTTAGGGTTTAGGGTTTAGCGTTAAAGAATGTAGGTCGACAACAAACGGTTGAATCGCGAGCAAGGTGTAGGTAACACGGTTTTGGAGTGGGATCGGCAATTCTGGTATCACCACTCTTACAACGCCCTTGATCAGCATCCACGGCAACATCAGCGCCAGTAAATTGAAAGAACGGCGTCAAACAGCATTGAAGCAGCACTAGCCCTCCATCAACGCCATTAACAACGCAACCCAGACCTTCCAAAATCCCTTAATTAAGGAATGAATATACCTTAAATCATATTAGGGATCCTATTATAATTTAAGGTATATTCCTTAATTCAGGGATTTTGGAAGGTCTGGGAAAGTCCGAATCAGCTAAAGCAAGCCCGCCTCCATACATGGCATTGTTGATGGCTCCACCAACAACGCTGCCCACAATGACGTCACCAACAGTGGGTGGAGGTGCCACAACCACCTTGCAAACCCTTCATACGGTTGATGATATACATCCTGCATTACCCATAATAAGGAATATACCATAATTCCCATAGTTTAGGGCCCTTAAGGTAATGCAAGACTTCTATCATCAACCGTAAGATTCAGGGTTACGGGCTTCGGGTTCGGATCTCGGCCGTTGCTTCATCTCATGAAAGGACCCTCCTTGTACCCTCAAATAGGGGAAAATATGATCCCAAATAGTGGGCACTTAGGGTCTAATAGAGGGTAGATGGAGGGTCTAGGTGAAAGTTCTGCAACTTCCCCGAAGAAAGGGAGCTAAATATCCGAACGATACCCCAAGCCCGAAAGCGAGGAGTGAGTTCAAGAGGGTCTCGGGGTTACGAAATTCGGCGTAAGGCCTGGAGTGTTCGGATATTGCGGCTTGTCAAGGTCCGGATTTGTTAAGGAAAACACTCGCATCTTGGTTGACCCTGCAGGGAAAGTGTCTCAGGATTTGGGGGTTTGGGATCGCAGGTTTTGGCCGGCCAGGCTTTTTGGTTCCGTGTTTTACTCAGGGTTTAGGGGTTCGGGGATTCGGGCTTAGGGCTTCCCGGACCTTAGGGTTTAGGTTACGGGCACAGAAAAGTCAAAATCCGTGATCTGAATGTGCCAAAGCCTTCACACTTTGGAGCTTTAACCGATTTGAAACGTTAATCCCAAGAGACGCCATATCACACCTTAACCCTCAAAACCCCAAAATCATCCAAAACACACACCGTCTAAGACCCCATACCTTCTAAAGCCCTCAGCTATCTCAACACCTTACCCGAGACCCCCCAGCTTAACCTCACTGCGTTGCTGAGATGGTGGCCGGTGCAGGAGCGAATCCCATCTTGGCAGGTGCTTCGTCGTTTTTCTTCCAATGTGCCGAGATTTGCTTCGAAGTTCTAGCCCTTAAATAAACCCTAAACCTTATTTGAAGCCTAGACCCTATATCTTAAGCCTAAACATCAAACCCTAAGCCTTGTTTGAAGCCTAAACCCTATATCTTAAACCCAAAACCTTATGTATAAACCCTAGGCATTAATTAAGCCCGAAACAGGCTGCCGCCTAGCGTCCTGAGATTCTGACGCACTTCCCACAGTCGCTGTTTATTCGATGGTGCTCTCTGAGGAGCTTGTTGGGCTTTGTTATCGAGTTCCGCGCTCTTGTATATGTATGCGTGTATGCGTGTATGCGTGTATGCATGTACGTACGGATGTATGTATGTGTATATGTGTGTATATATCTATGTATGTAGGTATATAGAGATAGAGATGGATAGATAAATCGATAGACACAGAGATAGAGAGAGGAGGTACATAGATAGATAGATAGAAAGATAGATAGATAGGCAGATAGATAAAGAGAGAGGGTCATGGACAGACAGATAGATGGATAGGTTAATGGATAGATCAGACCGATGGATACATCAATAAAGGCTTAGACCCTGTTTGAGGGGCTTGGGGCATGCACCGTGCAGGGGTAGATCCGAAGGATAGTTGAGGCGTCTGGCAAAGATGTTCGTATCTGCATATACAGGTTGTCTTTGAGCAAGTAAATACATGGTGATAGGTATATATATATATATATGAATGAATTTACATACATACATACATACATACATACATACATGCGTGCAAATGTGTGTGTAGCTATATACATATGTATATATATATATATATGTAAACGTCATATTTACACACATATATATATATATAGAGAGAGATTACACAAACAGAGGTAAGGTCTCGGATTGGTGCTTCCAGAGAGTGTCAGCTGTTGCCTGGTTTCCGGTAATATGCGACCTGAGGTTCTTACGGTTGACCCACATTCTTGAATCCTATGTCCTACGTAGATCCAGCCTTCGTGCAGAGACTTCATAGAGCCAGTAGGCCTCAAATCCGGTAGTAGCCACCCGAAAACAGTTCTGGGATGTCGACTGCTGAGTGCACAACCGCACATCATGAATTGAGGTGCAATTGAAACATGAAATCCTGTCCCTAAACCCTAAACCTAAACCCCACAAGCAACATCCCCACGCCAAAACTCTCCAGGGTTTGGGTGCAGGTTACAAACCGGACCCAGGCCCTTCTTGCGTTCTTCATAGTAGCAATAATCTTCAGCAAAGTGCCGATAATCATAATCATAATGATCATAATCATAATAATCATAGTAATGATAATAATAGTCATACTGGTAGTAGGAATAACAATAATCGTAATCGCGATGATCATATAACTAAAAAAGCACCGAAACACCCGTCTGTCTGCTGCCGGGTCACACCGAAGCCGACGGAAGGAGCCGCCACAACCGGCGGAGGTGCGATCACGGTCGTCTTGTTGATGACAGTGGTCCTACGCGTCTGCATCACTCGGGTTTCGGAGTGTTGATTGCAACTCCCTTTGTCTAGACTGGAACTTAATAGACCTTGAAAGGAGGCCTTTTCGGATTCCATGCTAGTCTAGTAACCCATACACCCTAAACCCTGTAAGGTGTATGGAAGGGCGCAGGACTCGGGATAGGGTACAACTCCGGCTTCTTCAAGCGCTTTGCGTTCGCACGAGGCGTGGAGCTTATTCTGAATAACTGGAACAGGGGTTCAGCGGTTACGGTGAATAAGATTCTGGCATAGTCATGGTAGGACCACAAGTAGCAATTATTTCTGAAACCTGTGCCCTATACCCTAAACCCTGCACCGACCACTAAATTCAGCACTTGCAGCTGCACATTGTGGGCTGAAGCTTCGGTTCGTGCACGGCCCAGAGCAGGCTGTCTTCAGGGTTGCTGGGTTCTTGTTAAGGGAATTAGTTAAAGCTACCATAATAGGGATCTATGTCATAAGGATCTATGGCAGATAGTATGGTTTCCTCATTATGGTAACTTAAATGAAATCCCCTAACAAGAACCCAGGTTCAGGGTCTTGAGGGTAGGGTTTTGGAGCACCTAGACCCCCCAACTACCCTTGATTGTAGCCCCGAATTCCCTCTTAATGAGAAATACCAGAGCCCTTTAAAGGGTACTTGGGGGGCCCTTGTCATCCGGGCCTCCTCCTTGCATTGAGAAAATCGTGGCTGTTGCAGACTGCCGGGCCGGGTTCATCGTGCTTTATGATTTTTACATGGGAATTTCCGAAACTTAGGGGTACCTTTGTTTGGGGTCCTTATAATAGGGATCCACTATTTAGCGCATTTTCGGAAACTCCCACATAGCCATAAGGAAACCCTGAGACAAAGTGTTACAGATGATCTTCAAGTTCCTGAAAATACTAAACTCTCACAGCAACCCTTCTGCAACATCAAAAAGAAGCCCTTAAGTATCCATAACTTAATCGGAGGAGTCTTGCTGCTGCTCGCAGCGGCGGGAGCCCGGGGCGCTGGGCGCGGCGGCGGTGCGCGGCGCGCCGACGGGGCGGAGCCACCGATGCGCCCGCCAGAGCGCGCTGCCTGCGCCTCCTGTGGTGAGTGTTTATGTTTGGGGTTCAGGTTTGAGGTGCAGCGTGGACTTTAGGCTCACGGTGGATATCCGGGTTTGGGTTGAGGGTATAGTTATTGGGGTGTAAGGTGGATTTCGTTGAAGTTTGGGCGTGTCTGGAGATGAAGTTGTGTGGCTGTGGGATTTCAGGGGCGGAAAGCTACTCGGAGATGAGTTGCTTGCTTTTCTCTTCGGGCTCTGTACTTGTTGCTTTCGGGTCTAGGGCATTGGGCCAGGGGCTTTAGAGCTTCGAAAAGGTCTCTTTATGCTTGGAGTTTGATACAGGAGCCTTAATTGGAGTAGGGTTTTGGGGCATATAATATAATACCATAATCATGACAAGGAACACCCCAAATAGTATGTAATCGCTTAGGCCCCTTTAGTAGGTGTTGGCTTAGAGGATCGTGGGACTTAGTAACTAGGATTATAAGTGAGGTAACTATACTTCTAACTACTTAGAACCCCAATTAAGGTACTTATATCCTGACTTACTAAGTCCCATGATCCTCCCAAGTAGACCCTAACCCCTAGACCCTATCGATCCCTTTAAGGAAGCCTATAGATCCCTTCAAGGAGCCCTTAAAGGAACCTTACTAAGTCCCATGATCCTTCAAGTGGCCTGCATGGGCAGCATTGCCATGACGAAAGCCGCGAGCATCGACAGAACCGCGCCGCCCACGCGCATCCTGAGGATGCCCAAGCGCGCTCCACCGACGGTAGAAGCCCAAAAGTTGGAAACCCCATAGCCTCAATCCTTAACAGTAATGTATAGGGAATCCCAGCTTTATTTGGCCTTAATCCGGTTTCCTTATCCCAAACTAAAGTAGCCTAATATAGGGGCCTGAATAATTAGAATAGGGTAGGGTGGGGCCCATTATACTATGATGATAGTACGGAGCCCCAGAAAATAGTATTGGTAATTATTTAGGCCCCTATAGAGTATGTGGAATATTTGCATGTTTCGACCAGACGTATGTTGAAGTATGGTGCTTTCTATCCATCATCGGCGGAGAGCCTCGGCTTCTTGTGCACGCAGGGTTGTTTAAGTTTGAACCCTCTTGCGGCTTTAGGTCTCTTGCTCGGCGTCTGGAGGGTTTCGCCGATTCAAACTTGCAAAATCAAGGGTCCCGGGCTGAAACATGGAGTCTAGTATTTAAGATAGGGGCCTAAATAAGTTCCAATACTATTTTGGGGGTTCTTATTAGAAGTATAGTATACTATGTAGGCCCAGAAACCCCATTGAAAATTATCAAGGCTCCTATATCATAGTGCTGCACTTATCGTATCCCTTATAGTAACCCTCCTATAGACAGGAAGCCTATTCTGGGTTGGCCTTTAAACACCCTGAAAAATATTTACACATAGGGTCCCTTATAAACCCAAAGAAGGAAAATACAAAATGCCCCAAAATCCAACCTAGTATTGAAGACACGGAGATTCACCAGGGGGTTTAGGGTTTAGGGGCTTAGGGGTTTAGGGTTTAGGATTTAGTTGCGATTTGGACCCAAAAAAGTTGGTTCTTCTAGGATTGACATGGGCCCATGATGGCCATGTCTTCCCGAACATGAAAACATCGTATCTTGGCAGCAAAGGACAGCAAATCTCGTTCAGTCAATCTCGGCCGACAGAGAAAACACTCAAAGAGCTGGATCAACCATAAACCCCAAACCCTTACCGTTCCTTAGAGCCAGAAATCAGAAAGGCTTGAACCCTACGACGCCGAGCAATACCATCGAAACTGGAAACCATCTTTCCATGAGGTCTAGGGTTCACAGGGTGGAAGGTTTGGGTTTAGGGTTTAGGGGTTTAGGGCCGTTTAGGGTTTAGGTACAGCGCTGCAACCAGAAACTTGTCATCGAACAGTAAAGCTCAGACACAATAAGGCAATATCGAGACCCAAACCATTAGAGTAGGGTGCTCAGGCGCAGCTCTAGATTAAAGCCTCATCCTTCATATTGATTGCTTGTATGTCCTGTGGCAGAAGCGACAATCGGACCGATGCCCCTGCGGCCGCGTCTGCCGGTCTCAAACTTGGGTTTAGGATTTACCTATAGTCTCCATTGTAGTTCCTTTTTTGGGTTAGCTAGTTTTATGGTTAGGACCCCATAGTAGAGATTTTGGTTAACCAAAAAAAGGAACTACAATGGAGACTATAGGAGAAGGAGGTCACTCTGCACTGACACTTGCTGGAGCAGGAGGAACTTGGCCAGGCTCTACAGCGCCACTGCAGAAACTCAGACGAAAAGGCTTCTCTTCCGGCTCTCTCTGCGCCCGGCCCGGGCAAAGCTTTTGGTGTTCTCGGTGTTTTTTGTCGGGGAACGTGAGGTGGACACGTTCTTCACCCTGGCATAGACCCTCACACGCCAAACCAACTTTAGC